TTTATTATAAAACGTTATAAAATTAATTTATAAATAAAATATAAAAAATTTTATAAATTTTAACGAAATAAAAATTATAAACTTATAAAAAATAATATAAAAAAACTTAATTAAATTAAAAAAAAATCCGATTTATTATTAAAATTACGATAATTTTTAACATTAATAAATTTCGATTTTTTAAACTTTAATTTTTTATATTACTTTTATTATTATTTAAAAAAAAAATTTTTATAATTTCATTATTTACTCGTAAAAAATTAAAACGAAAATTAATAAAACGTTAACATTTTTTATAAAAAACCGGGAAGTTAATAAAACATAATAAATAATATAAAAAAAAAAATATTTTCCGTTCGAAAAATATTATTACGCTTAAACTTTTCTTATTACTTATAAAACCCCTTTTATAATTACGCGAAAAATACGAAATATTACGTAAGTAATTGATAAGTAATTAATAAGAGATTTTGACACACTTGATTGGCTTAAATCTCCTCTAGCGTGTCGCCAAGCCTTGGCAAAACCTTAAATTTATCCACGTCTTTGATTGGGTGTATCTCCTTTAATTAATTATATTAGCTTCGATTTGACTGATCTTCCAATTGAACTGATTTACCTACCTACCTACCTACCTCCCTACCTACTTTTGAACCGACTTTTGAACTGACTATTTAACTGACTATTCAACTGACTATTTAACTGACTATTCAACTGACTATTCAACTGACTATTCAACTGACTATTCAACTGACTATTCAACTGACTATTCAACTGACTATTCAACTGACTATTCAACTGACTATTCAATCGATTATTCGATCGATTATTTAATTAGTTCGGCGACTGATTTATTAGCTGTGTACTGATTGCATCTGGGGACTGGACCAGGGACTGATTTACTGACTATTTGACTGACTGTTGAACTGGCCGTTGAACTGATCGAACGACTGATCCAGGGACTGGATCCAGGACTGATTTACTAACTGATCTACAGATCGATTTACTGACTTCGAACTTATCTAGGGACTGATCTGACTATTGAACTGACCTTTGAACTGATCTCGGGACTGACCAGACTAATTTACACTTTTGGACTGATTTGCTGACTAATCTACTGACTGTTGAACTGATCGAACAACTGATCTTGTAACTGGATTAGGGACTGATTAACTGACTATTTAACTGATAATTTAACTAATCGAATATCTAATACAAGGACTGAACTAAGGACTGATTTACAAACTGGTTAATTAGTTATTAAAGTGATGGAATTATTAATTCCGTCCTTAATTTAAGGATTAAATTATTAATTATTAAATTATTATAAAAACTAATTTAATTAATCGTTAAATTAATTATTAAATTAATTTAATTTTTAAATTAAAGATTAATTTATTAATTATTTAATTAACTTTTAAATTAATTTAAGGATTAAATTAAAAATTAATTAAGAAAATTTTATTATATTATTTTTTTAATTTATTAAAAAATAAAATTTTCTTATTTAAATTTAAATTAATGGATTTTTAATATATAAATTAATTTAAAAATTTTTAACTTAATTTAAAAATTAATTTAATTAATCGTTAAATTAACTTTTTAAATTAATTCGAAAATTAAATTAAAAACTAATTTACGAATTAATTAATTAACTTTTAAACTTTTTTTTTAATTTACTTTTATATTAATTTAAAAATTCGAAAAACTTGTTTATTATAAAAAAACTTTCTTAATTTTTCGGGCGGATATTACTTTTTATTTTTATTTAACTTTTTTTTTTTTAAACTTTTTTTTTTTTTAAACTTTTATATATAACTTTTTATAAGGAAAATTTTTTTTAACTTTTTTTTTATTTTTTAAAATCCTTGTAATTTACGTAAAGCCGTATTTTAAAAAATAAAAAAAAAGGTTAAAAAATTTTTTCTTTACGAAAAATTATATATAAAAGTTTAAAGAAAATAATAAATTTAAAAAAAAAAAGAAATTAAATAAAAATAAAAAGTAATATTTACCCGAAAAATTAAAAAAGTTTTTTTACGATAAATAATTTTTTCGAATTTAATTTAATTTTTAAATTAATTTAAAAAAAAATTTAAAAATAAATTAAAAAAAAATTTAAAAATTAATTAATTAATTAATAAATTAATTTTTAATTTAATTTTTAAATAAGTTTAAAAAATTAATATAATAATTAATTAAATTAATTTTTAAATTAATTTAAAAATTAATTTAATTAATTATTAAATTAACTTTTTAAATTAATTTATAAATTAATTTAAAAATTATTAAATTAATTATTAAATTAATTTAAAAATTAATTAAATAATTAATAAATTAATTTTTAATTTAAAATTTAAATTAATTTAATAATTAATTTAACGATTAATTAAATTAATTTTTATAATAATTTAATAATTAATAATTTAATTTTTAAATTAAAAATTAAATTAATAATTTTATTAATTTAATAATTAATTAATTAATTTATAAATTAATTTTTAATTTAATTTAATATTAAATATTTAATTAATTAAATTATTAATTAAATAATTAATTAATTAATTTTTAATTTAATTATAAAATTAATTTAAAAATTAATAAATTAATTTTTAATTTAATTTTTAAATTTAATTAATATTTAATTAATAAATTAATTATTAAATTAATTAAATAATTAATTAAATAATCGATTAAATAATTAATTAAATAATTAATTAAATAATTAATTAAAAAATTAATTTAAAAATAAATAAATAAATAAATAAATTAATTTAATTAAAAAATTAATTAAATCGAAATTTATATAATAAATTAAAAAAAATACATTTAATTAAAAATATAAATAAATTTAAAATTTTATTAAAATTTAATAATACGTTAAAAAAAATTTAAATTAATTAAATATATTAAAATTTTTTATTAATTATTTATTAATTATTTACGTAATATTTCGTATTTTTCGCATAATTATAAAAAAAGTTTTATAAATAATAAAAAAAATTTAAACGTAATAATATTTTTTAAATAAATAAATTATAATTATTATAATTAAATAAAACGTTATAACGTTAAATAAAATCGTAATTTAAACTCGTTAAAATAAAATTAATACGTTATAATAACTTTTAAAAATGTCCTTCGAACAAATTATTTTATATAAAATAAATAAACGCTTATGTATTTTAATTTAAGCTTTTGAGCCTTATTCCAAGATTTATATCTTTTCCTTTTATCAAATCTTTGATCAATTGTTTCGCACTCAAAGCACCTTCAAACCTTTAATAATTACAGTCATTCAATTGCCCTCGAACGGCTCTTTCGAATAAGCCAGGTTGCATTAAGATCGACCTCGATCTGAATCGAGAGCATGCGACTGAACCTGACACAAGCTAAGATTAACTCGAATCGATCGAAGTAGGACTCCCTTTTCAACGCTGAGCCTTACAATCAGATACAAACTTACAGATCGATAAAATGGATAGAAGATAATTCAGATCAAGCGCTTTCGATCAATCCTGGTTGCAGAGATTGGAACGTTGAATTAAGGGAGTTAGAAAAGGTTGAAATCAGTCGACTATAAGGTAGGATTTCAGTACAATTTGCAGCGTGTTCAAATCAACGCTAAGCCCTTTTTCCATACAGCGCGTATACCAGCTAAAACCAAATAACGCAAACAATATTACTCGTTAAAAACTAGCTTTTATACTTCGTGGGTAGTATTATTTTTAAAATAAATCGATACATAAAAAAAAACCATGGATCACGAAAACCGTCGAGGGGTTTAAAGATATACTGGGGATATAAGGGACAACGATAAATCTTGGACCCGACCTTAACACGAATTTCGGATCCATGGATGCTCCAAGGTTGCAAAGAGCTGACAATACGCCGTCAAAAGCACCGACATAGACAGTAGCCACAATTATAGGGCCGTTTCAAGTATTTTCTCATGGGACGTAACGAAACGGTCACATTCTGTCTTCCCCTCACGTCATGTGGGGGAACGGGGTTTGGATCTTCGCCTTCTCGTCTTAACATCCTCTACAGATTAATGATATACAGTAACGGCATTACATGCCTTACATCTCGGAAATATCGAACGATCCTTGACCCATATCAGATTCTCAATAGCTTTTGGTTGGCTAGCTGCTGGAGTGCCGGTGTCCCCTGCTGGCATGCCAAGGCCGAATCTGTAGGAAGGTACATTAAGACTCTAGATAAGGAAGGCAGTTGTTGCTATCAATCACGTCCAAGCTCGTCCAAGGTCGAACAAGCTCATCCCGATGATCTAACTCGAGGCTCACTGTTGCTTGGCACTTGCCTGCTGTCTTGGACGAAGCTTGGTCACCTCTACCATCCCGTCGTCATTGGTCCATCTGTCCCGTAGTTAATTTCGTGGCACCTGAATAAATCCGAACCCCTGGGACTAAATCACCCCAACCCAGGAGGGGCCCCCCACATTAGTTTGGGGTAATATTACCGACCCTTAGCTAATCTGTGGTATATAATATCGCTGAAGAGATGAAGATGGGTTCTTCCCGCCGACGGGTAGGAGACTTTCAGCTTGACCAAGCTCCTTATAGGAGGTGCATCTATGATCGGCATTCGTCATGCAGTCAGATTGGCCGACAAGGACAGGGAATACTGTCGCCCACTTAGGTCCCTTACCATATCCATGATTCTCTTTCAACCTCACATGAGTCGTTCACATGCTACTGGTCGCTGGCAGGCTTGTCTAACAACCAGATACTCCCCTTGGTAAAGATCAGCTATTATGGATTGTATCGTGGCCTCGCACTCGACGTTCAGATGCCGCTGCTCGCGCCGAGGAGCTGCCATGAATATTATAAAAAGGCCGAACCAGTCCTCTATCGGTGGTCTATCTTCTCCTGCTTCATCCCGCATCTACCCAGAAAGCTTCATCATCGAGAAGAATTCGCCCTCGGAGAATACCTTAGAACCACACCTAGAGTTGTCACTGTTACTCGTCTCCCAAAATGCGCACAACTACTGCTCTCGCTTTTCTGCCCCTGGCATTGGCTGCACCTTCAAAGAGGGCCTCTCCGGCCTTGGTCATCAAGCCTCGAGGTGCTCAACTGATCGATGGCAAGTACATCATCAAGATGAAGACCAATGCCAATGCCGATTCTTTACACACTTCCATCCAAGCCATCTCTAGCGACGCCGATTTTGTGTACAACAGCAATGATTTTAAGGGATTCGCTTCTAGCCTTTCAGCCGAAGAGCTCGAGGCTTTGCAAAACAATGACGATGTAAGCTGAGAGTGTGTGGTTCTATTTTAATACCTACCAATGTCCTAACCGTTTCCCCCCTTCCCTTTTCTCTAGGTCGACTACATTGAGCAGGATGCCGTTGTCACTATCAAGGCTACCCAGGAGAATGCCGACTGGGGTCTCGCGCGCCTTTCCGCTTCTGAGTCCGGCACCACCACGTACACCTACGATGACAGTGCTGGCGAAGGAACCTGTGCTTATGTCGTCGACACAGGTATCGAAGTAGACCACGAGGTATGTAACGAGTGGAATATTCTCGTCAGTCGGGAACGGTGGACTGATTCTATGCAGGAATTTGAGGGCCGTGCTAAGTGGCTTGCTAATTACGCCGGCGACGGCGACGACACCGATGGCAACGGCCACGGTACGCATGTCGCGGGTACTATTGGCTCTAAGACATACGGGGTTTCTAAGAAGACCTCACTTTTCGCCGTCAAGGTCCTCGACGCCAGTGGTTCAGGTACTAAGTATGTCCACCCACCCCCCTTATATGACTACCTGGGACGTCATATGAAAGTTAGGATTGACTAATTCGAATAATAGCTCCGGTGTTATTGCTGGCATGGATTTCGTTGCAAAGGATGCCGCTGGACAGACGTGCCCCAAGGGTGTTGTCGTGAACATGTCTTTAGGCGGCTCTTCTTCGAGTGCCGTAAACGAGGCAGCTGCCAGCATTGTCAGCGCTGGTCTTTTCCTTGCCGTCGCCGCTGGCAACGAGGCTGCGGACGCATCTACCTCGTCCCCGGCTTCCGAGAAGTCGGCTTGCACCGTCGGCGCTACTACCAAGGATGACGAATTTGCCGAATACTCCAACTATGGTAGTCTCGTGGATGTCCTTGCTCCCGGTACCGATATTGAGTCGACGTGGATCGGAGGGAAAACAAACACCATATCCGGTACATCCATGGCCTCTCCTCACATCGCTGGCCTTGGCGCCTACTACTTGGGACTTGATGCCTCGCCCGTGGCTGATCTATGTGACTACATCGCAAAGGCTGCTCTCTCCGGTGCCATCTCCAGCGTCCCTAGCGGCACCGCCAATTCATTGGCTAACAACGGCCAGTCCTCTTAGAATGTGACGATTGTGGTGACGACGACGGCCTGATGGTTGATAATTGATGATTGATGGTTGATGGTTGATGGTTAGGGTATAGGTATATAGTAGGACTTCGTGTATAGTTCAATGTTGTATCTTGGCTTGGGAGATATGCCTTGAGAAATCGTGTATATAGTCGAGGTTATTATCCGTAGATTGGTTGCCTAGGTAGTTAGTTGGTCATAATAAACGGGCCGTTCAGCTGCCTTCCATCTATCCTATGCTTCTCATATATAGGAAGACACTGTTTAGGTACCTATCTACGGAGTGACTTTTAATAACCCCCGCGTGCCTCCCACCTTCACGACTCTCATCCCAGGTGATTCAGTTACACACCTTCTGTTTCCACGATATCACTCCACGGTTACCCCACCGAGTAGCAATTGTTATCTTTCCATCTTTTCGATTTCTATTCATGGGGTCTTTACTCATGCGTGCGCCCCCTAGCATCTGTAAAGGGGCTCCTCGCTTTAAACGAAGCGGACAACTAACCTGTCAACGTTCTAGCATTATTGCAGTCAAGTAGTCTGGATATGGATATACGACATATATCAATACTACCTTGTAACTTCAAGCACTATGCTCTTAGGGGTGCGTGGGACGGTAGCTACTAAGCTGATGTTTCGTGATATGCGAAAAATCAGGTAGAAAAGGAGGTATCACAAAAATGGTCATACTGATACAGAAAAATAAAGGATATTCGATCAATAAACGCCCGGTAAACATTTCAACATAAACCAATGTAGGTGCCAACCAATGTGTCAGATAAGTTATCATTTGTAAACGTCTTGATGGCTGTCTCTTTTCTGCATCGGGACGAAGTGCGGCATGACTTTATTGTATGTATTAAATTATTATTAATCATACTAAGTACTACATAGTACATAGTATACAAGTCAATGCGATTGGTTAAACGCAATTAGCTTCCTACGCGTAGTAATTAGTTTTCAATACATGCGAAAAATTTCATCTCGACATGATCCACTTCCTCGGATCGACCTATAAAATAAGCAACATAGGTGGCTTCGTATAGTGGTTAGTACAACACGTTGTGGTTGAAGAGAATTACCATTAACGTACCGTGTAAACCTGGGTTCGATTCCCAGAGCCGCCATTCCTTTTTAGGCTTATTATTTATAAGCAAATATGCATCTTATTATTTTCATTCGTTTACTACTTGGTTAGTATCATTTCAACGGATTCGCTTTTGAACTTTTTATAAAAAAATAACATTAAAGTTACTTGATTTATTATGTAGTCTTTGGATCATGTTACGAGATGAATTATAAAGAGTTTTTACTTACGGGAATGGACTAATACGCCTACTTAAGCAGCCAGTACTCCTTATGGACTCTCACGGACTTCCACGGGTCGAGTCTCGATCCTATTAAACCTTTTAGTTACTAGTCCTACCACAGACTAAACTTCCGATAGATCAGTTCAATATGTAAGTAGTTTAATAGTTATTAGTTCGAAAGTAGGTAGGTACATACCAGGTAAGTAATACTACTTAGGTACATAGGTATTATGTATGTTGAATAATCGGTTCGATTCAAGGATCAAAATACTAATCACTGGACTTGAAGGCGATGCACCGAATCAGGGACGCGGATGAATTTAAGGTTTTGCCAAGGCATGAGCATGGGAGTTGCTGCGAGAAGGGCAGAAGGGGTTTAGCCAACCAGTCGCTACAAAATGCTTATCAATTACTTCACATGGTAATTAGGCTAGGTATAGTTTAGTCTATGGTCGATGAATTGCGGTTTCCGACCTTCAATAGGTAGGTACCTATCAAGTTCTCGCTAAGCTCGGTCTGGCGTACCGATCGATGAGTTAAAATAATAAGACATTTCCCATAGAGATGAAGTATTTATTGGTAGCATCGTAGTGGACGTAATACCCACATCCTACACGTAGAATCAAGGCACGATCTAGACCCGCGCGTTCGGATGTAGATAGTAAGCGACCTTCCGGAATTGTCTAAGCCAAAGATTGCGTGACTATGAAAGGAACAAACGATAGCTGTCATTTATACTACCTTACATATCACCATATCACCATAGGTAGGTACGCGATTAATGCAATTTCCGACCTGAACTAACCGAGAACTCCAATTGGGTATACGGATGCGGGTGGACATAACCTTGACCTGTCGGGCTGTCGATCCTTGCACCCGGTAAGCTTACAGAACAAGGGAGTTATGTATGTAGGTACGAGATAGCCCACTGTCATACATTAATATAAAGTATTACGAGCGCCGTTCTGGAGATTTTTCCTCTAAGGATTCGGTCATAGCTGTCTAGGTCCTGCCTGCTTTGCTCGTCTCTTCGGTTTATAGCTAGATAGGTCTGCCTAGGTCGGAGCTTCTCGTAACCATGGTTCGCCTCACCACCACCATCTCGGCGATCCTCGCCGCACACGGTGCGCTTGCAAACCCGGTGGGGTCGCGAACGCCGTACCGCGTCAAGGATTCGCACCACGTTCCTAGGGCTTGGAGGCGGCTTCGTCGCGCGCCTGCCGACCATATCATCGATCTCCAGATCGGTGTTAAGCAGAACAATTTCGCAGAATTGGAAAGGCATCTATACGAAGGTATGAGGAGAAGTGGCGACATGTTGGCCCCTTCCCACATCTGAGAAACGAGAGTCTGGTAATCTGATAAAGCGTAGTTTCGGATCCCGATCACCCTCGCTACGGTCAGCATCTCAGCGCTGGCGATGTCAAGGAGTTGGTCAAGCCGACGGATGAGACGTTAGATCTCGTCCACGAGTGGCTGGAAGCTAACGGCATCACCCCCTCGGGATATAGCTCCGCTAAGGATTGGATCATGGTATCTCTTCCTGTGGGAACAGTTGAACGGCTCCTAGATACGGAGTACCATGTCTATGAGCACAAGGATGGTGGTTTGGTCGCCCGAGCTCCTAAGTGGTCTCTACCCCTTCATCTGCACGATCGGATCGACACGATTCAGCCTACCAATTCATTCTTCCGTGCCCGTGCCGAGAAGTTCGACCATATTGAAGCCCCCGTATATATTGATCCCAAGTACACGCCTCCTAGCAACGAAACCCTGAACGCAGTCTGCAACGTCAGCTCCGTCACGCCCGAATGCTTCCAGACTCTCTATTCGACCAAGGGCTACAAGACTCATGCCTGTGGCAAGAATAAAGTCGGCTTTAATAATTATCTTGGCGAGCATCCAATTCGGACAGACACGGAACTGTTCCTTGCCAAGTATCGGCCCGAGGCAGTCTCAAGCGCACGGGACTTTCCCCAGATCTCCATCGCAAACGGACCCGGAGACTATGCTTTGACCCCAGAAGAAATCCAGTCAGGAACTTCGAAGGAGGCGAACCTAGATGTCCAGGCTATTGCTGGTATCAGCTGGAAGAGTATGTATCTATAAATCTTCCTAAATTCTGACCGAAATTCCCTGCCACTAACATGTACCCGCCTAGCCCCAATCATTAGTTACTCAACTGGGGGAAGCCCGCCGTTCATTCCGTCTGCTAGCACGCCCGACAACACTAATGAACCATACCTGGTGTGGGTAAATTATCTCCTCGGCCTGGAGTCCTTCCCGCAAGTAATTAGGTGTGTTTGATATGCCTCCTTCCCCCTTGATCTGGCGCTGTTGTATCACTTCGAACAGAAGCTAATGGGTTATACAGTATGTGACATTCCAACCCTATCTATTTTCTGCCGAGAAGTAGAAACGCACCCCCATACGACGGAACTTTGGAGATTTTGCATGAGTGACTAACCTGACTTACTTACCACAGCGACGTCGTATGCCGATGATGAACAGACTGTTCCGGAGTCGTACGCCCGCCGAGTCTGCCAGCAATTCGCCCAGGTAGGTGCCCGGGGCACATCGCTACTCTTTTCGAGTGGCGATAGCGGTGTTGGACCGTACGGAGAGTGCATTAGCAACGACGGGAAGAACACGACACAATTTCTGCCCGAATTTCCGCCTAGTTGCCCCTACGTGACGGCGGTTGGCGCTACAAAGAACTTCGAGCCTGAGGTGGTGGCGTACCGGCCTGCATTCGTTGGGCCCGACGGCATCAAACGTGGCAATTACACGAGTGGCGGCGGGTTTAGCAATTACTTCGCAGCACCGGCATACCAGGCGAAGCAGGCGAGCAGCTACGTCGAGAACCTAGATGGCCTGTACGACGGCCTATACAACAAGACGGGCCGCGGCTACCCGGACATCTCGGCTCAAGGACTCTACTTTGCCTATTTCTGGAATGGTACGGAGGGTACTATCAGCGGAACGAGTGCCAGCTGCCCTTTGACGGGTGGAATCATTTCCTTGGTAAACGACGCGCTTATTTCATCTGGAAAACCAGCGTTAGGTTTCCTGAACCCGTGGTTGTACTCGAAAGGGTACAAGGGTCTGACCGACATTACACAGGGTAGTGCTGTCGGGTGTGGTGTAGACGGATTCCCGGCAACGGAGGGATGGGATCCTGTCACAGGACTCGGCACACCGGTATTCCCCGAACTCGTCGCATTGGCGGGCGGGAAGCTGTTTTATTAAAGAGGGACATAATTACTATGATTCATGATACTGTACCTTACGAGGGTGTACCTAACATCTTCACCCAGGTGTATGTAACATAGCCTGTATAGAGTATTTATTTATTGTTAGTGATGTGGTTGATTTATAGATATTGAAAGAAAATAAAAGAGAAACAGATAAGCCCTCAGCCCCTATGCTCCTATTCATTTATTGAATATCTTATTTCATTACCTAGGTATGCATCTATGCAGGTATCTATAAGTACTGATTACATCAGATATATCCTGTACCTGTTTAGTACATACCTGTCTAACCGCGACTTGTCTAACATCCGGTTCCACCTAATTATGTACCCACTTACTAACAAATACCTTGATGATTGATGTCATCGCTCTTCTTAAGTTTACTATCATCATTGTTGGTGTATCGACGTTAAAACAATTTTCAAGATCGATATAATACCCACCACCTACCTGGGCACATAGTGTCAGCCGAGTTCAGAACCCTCATTAGTAAACTGGGCTCCTCTATTTCTGTGTTAAGACTGCCCTAACCCTAATCTCTCAACCATGGGATCTATCGTTCTACCACACCTCAACACCGGCTGGCATGTCGACCAAGCCATCCTGTCGGAAACGGAGCGTGTTGTTGGTGAGCAATACATATCTTTTAAATGAGCGGATCTTCGATAAAGTAACGCACTAACTATTTACTCTTTTCCTTTGAATATAGCCATTCGATTTGGTCGCGATCATGACCCCGAGTGCATGCGACAAGATGAAGTCCTCTACCGCATCGCCGACAAAGTAAAAAACTTCTGCGTTATCTACGTCTGCGACATTGACCAGGTTCCCGACTTCAACCAGATGTACGGTATGCTGCAGACCCCTCGATCGTCAACCCTTTCTATTTCCAGCACGAAATGCTGTTTTAAACCATATGCTAACGATATGACTTTGGGTAGAGTTGTATGACCCTTGCACTATCATGTTTTTCTACCGAAACAAGCACATGCTATGCGATTTAGGCACGGGAAATAATAACAAGCTCAACTTCGTGCTCGAGGACAAGCAAGAGTTAATCGATATCATCGAGACTGTATACAAGGGTGCCAAGAAGGGTCGCGGTCTCGTCGTTAGTCCGAAGGACTATTCTACCCGTTATCGATATTAGCGACACAGCATACGACGACCCTACACTCTTTCGTGGTACACAGTCTTTCATACCACTTCTTCCGGGAATAAACACTCCTGGTCCCTAGTTAGGGTATTTAAGAACTGCTGGGGAACGTCTATGATAAGTGTTGCAATGACGGGGAAACTCGAAGCCATGGTAGAGAATAAACCTGAGCCGGATAGTAAGGCTGGTTACTCCACTTCTAAATGCCAACACAAGTCGGCACAAAATATCCTAACATGAGCAAAGCGAGTTCGGCAGCTCTCTATCAACGGCAAACATAGTTACCTACTTTTAACAGTGAACTGCAGAAATACGAAAATCGAGGGAAGAGGTTGGGCGGGATAATTAGAACATCAATTGTTTTGTTTATAATACAGACAGCCAGGTATTACTTAGTAGATACTGTAGGTATAGCACCCCTACTGCTTATCTAGGTAGGTATGATACGATTAAAAACACGCCCATCTTTGTAGGTGATCAGCCGCTTGTTGTTACATGTGCATAGTATCTATTCTGTATTAGGCGCCTAGGTCCTAGGCATGGAGGTGTCAATAGTGGTTGAGGCTCAGAAAAAGATACGATAAATTATACCTACCTTATTCGGTTTTATGTAGGTAGCTGTACTCAAGAACAATGAAGGCGTACGTAAGCTGGTGTGGCATCTGAAGGCATTGAAGATTCCAAAATTAGAATGGTACATTGAAGCCCCTGCCGGTCCCTGGAAACTCTCAAGGCTGGTTGGTTAGGGCGGCTGCGAAGAACTCTAGCCCGCTAGACCACGCCAGACTATGTGTAGCACAGCCCCTTGTAGTACCTAGGTACCTACGTACCTACGTAACAATTTTGAACAGACACGCAATCTTTGTACGAGCTAAGTACTGTACATGGACCCCATACTTTCTCACACCTAAAATGCTTCGCGTCAGCTGTCCCTCTAGTGTATTTGTACATGCATTTACCGCGCATTACAGCTCATCGCGCCTTATTTACTGCGTACATATGTACATTAGTTTTGCAGTGTGACGACAGCGATTAATGGGTCCCTTTAAGATTTACCATTTGGCTGTGTATTGCCCTGCCTCATTACATAATAACTTGAACAAACACGAAGGCTGCTGAAACGAAAACGAAAGCCTCCAAAAGCAATAACTGCACCTCTCATCTTTTCTCTCCCACTTCTACCTACTTTTTATTTTCGCATCATTTGGTTTTTCACCTTTCTTAGTTGGAAAGCTACTATTGTCGATGAAGTAGGCGACAACGATTATACTAACGTTCGTTACGTCGGTTGATTTGCATCTACTACATTCGTTTTGAACGTCTGTCGAGCCATCTCATCTCATCGCATCGCATTCCGCTGGGTCCAACTACTAAATCTAATCGTATATAGTAACTAGGTATTTGATGTCGGGTTAGGAACACGACATTGACCTAAGGGACGAGGAGAAAGAAAGAGTCGACGAGAGAGAAGCAGAAAAAAAAGAGGAAGAGGAAAAAAACGAAACAAGAAGATAGTACTAGTGCGGGCCACATTCTCTCTTCTCACGCCCCCTCCCCATCTTTAATTCTCGATATAAATCCCAGGATAGAGAAGGGGAAAAGAGAACAAGAGGTGAATAAGTGACCATGGCCGCTAACGAATACTACAACGATTCTTCGCGGCGCTACAACACATACGAGCCGTCTCTAGCATCCGAACCACCCTCTTACACGTCGCAATCTCATCAGCAAGATCGGCCTAATGCTAACACGGTATCTCCTTTCGAGAGTGTCTTCGATGATCACGTCTATCCAACCAACTCACAATCCCACCAAACGCCTGACTCCTCCTTGCATAACTTGAACAACAACCAGCAGACATTCGCTTACGATACGAGATACCATGGCGCTGCTCCTGGAGATGTTTCACCCGTAGGTACGGATGATATTCCTCTGCGCCACCAGAGCAACAAGTCCCCGGCGGGCTATGCTGCTGATTCGAACGACCATGTCTATGATACTACCGATCAGGAAGCTGGTCATCGGGGAGCCTCTAAGCGTGGTCTACTACGTTTTGGCGAATTGGGCATGCTGGGATCCGAAAAGAGGAGAATACCAATTGTGGTATACCTATTTTCCCTGATTCAGATTGCTGTCTTTATTGCTGAGCTGGTCAAGGCCGCCCAGCTTACTGGCTCTCCTATCCAGACCAAACCTTCATTTAATCCTATGATAGGCCCGTCGCAGCAGGTTCTCATCAACATGGGCTCCAGATTTGTTCCGTGCATGAAGAATGTCGACGGCGTACAAAACTATCCGTCCCCAGGCTTCGGGTGGCCTTGTCCCAACACCACCACGTCCGACCCCAATGATGGCTCGAACCAATGTACTCTTTCGGAACTCTGTGGCTTTTCTGGTGTTCCCAACCCCGGCTGGAACCCCGAGAATGGGCTTAGCCAGAGCCCAGCACCCAACCAGTGGTTCCGGTTCATAACCCCCATCTTTATGCATGCCGGCATTATCCACATTGGGTTCAATCTTTTGCTCCAGCTTACCATGGGGAAGGAGATTGAGAGAGCTATTGGCTCCATCCGATTCTTCCTCGTTTACATGAGTGCTGGCATCTTTGGGTTCGTCATGGGAGGTAATTATGCTGCCTCTGGAATCTCGTCTACTGGAGCGTCGGGATCTTTGTTCGGGGTCATCGCCCTCACGCTGCTCGATCTTCTCTACTCGTGGGGCGAGAGACGCAATCCTGGGAGGGAACTCATATTTATCGTCATCGAGATCCTTGTTTCCTTCGCTCTCGGCCTTCTCCCTGGCCTGGACAACTTCTCTCATATCGGTGGCTTCATCGTCGGCATATGTCTTGGTATCAGTGTTCTTCACTCCCCGAATGCCCTCCGCCGCAAGATTGGCGAGGACCATTTTGGGGGCCCTTCTTACTCTACCGTTGGCGGTGGTGGTATTACTAGCGTCGCCTTTCCCGCCTTCTATAGAAATCCCGTAGGCTTCTTCAAGGGTCGGAAGCCACTGTGGTGGGCCTGGTGGCTCGTTCGCGCCGCGTTTCTTATACTTGTCATCGTCGTCTTTATTGTACTGCTTAAGAACTTCTACTCCAACCAGAACAACTGCAGTTGGTGTAAATATCTCAGTTGTCTTGTGAGTGACTACCTCCCCTCGCTTTTCAGGGGCAATGCTAACATTCTAGTAGCCTGTTAATAATTGGTGTGATATCGGAAATCTGACCATTTCGACATCGTCTACCACACAGAAAAGAGGCGTCGACATATTTGCGCTCGAGCAAGTAGCTAACTATTATTCATGAAACGAAATCCCTCTTAACCCTAAGCATAGTTGATGAATGTCGGTAGGCGAGTTGTGGATTTATGATACCCCCACACAGATCTGGTATTGCGCGAGAATGCATGATCTTTCTTAAAAATGGCGAACAACTTGGGCCTGGAATAGGAGACACATTAAAAGGTCCCTTTGGGAAGAGTCTAATTGAATGGGGTGCACGTCGACCTTTGAGACCCCGGCGCCCCGCGGCGTCGTTATAATTGAATATACTGATGCGGGATGAAATCAACGAGTCTTACGTGTAGAATAATCATGGGTATACTTGGTTAAGTAGTTAAGCTGTATACTCCGTAGTTTACAAAGGGAATGCTACTCTGTGGCGTATCATGGTTTTCTTTTCGATGAAGCAAATGACTCGCCTTGCATTTTCAGGGTAAACAACATTCACTTGTGAGGCTATTTCATAATATACCTACCTAAGAATCGGTAATATAACACGTTCGTAAATAAGAGCTAATGAGGATAGCACTCACATCTACGATATCTCTACGAGACCCTCGTAAATTGTAGTTGAGAGGCCCTCAGTTTTGTTTGAGACATGAATATAATCGAGAAGGATATACCATCTTTTCAACAAATACCTACCTATGAGACGGGGGTATCTCATTGCTGTGAGTTCTAGTGTTTTGTCCCGGGCGATCGTTTCGTAGCGTACCCCCTCCAGCCTTTTTTCTAATTCTTTGCATACCCAGATACGGTGCATTAGGCTCGGATTCGGATTTACGTAAGTCATTATTGATAAGTGTATTCGTTATACCTAACTTGAGAATTGCGTTGTCTAAAGAAGTGTGACATTCTTCTCATTACATAGGCGTATTAAACCGGGACATGGCTCCTGTGTGCCCGGGTAATAACCTTCATTCCTCTCCGTCTGACAACAGGTCTTCTACGAGTGAATCCACCCCACTACGACGAATCGTAGAGCTGGAGACATCGGCCTCCTCTTCCACGTTATCTTCTCCCTGCTCCTCCTTGATCATTGGCACCGGAACGACGGTTACGTCTTCTGCAATGGTCTTGTCGTCGGGGGTAAGAGAGACACTCCTACTGGTGCTTCGTCTGGACATCTTGTCTTGTTCCCCAAGCTGATTCACGATTTTTCCTAGGCTCACGTGTATCTTGTAAAGTGCATTCCTGCTTGTGGCATCCGACAGTATGTTCTCTTCAACCGCCGCTGATATATCTTCATACAGGCTACGAATCTTATCCTCCGAGGAGGCTGAAGAGACATGTAATTTCCCTAGTAAAGGCGCGATCACCTTCTTCTCTTCCTCTGTATTGCTGTTAGCATGGCGATATTGAGCAAGAGTGTAGCGCTTACTGCTGAAGTTGCTGTTCAACTTCTCAAGAATATCCCTCGCCAGGTCCAGATGGACGTCCCCGTTCACGTTCTTCTTGTCTGCGTCCATGGGAATGCCAGGAGTATAACACTTCCGAGGATCGGTCCAATCCACTAAACAGGCGCCGATGGTGTTGAGACTGGCCATCTCGTCGCCGACATCCATGTCGTCATCATCGATGCCCTCTCTAACGTTGTAGAGAGCATGCAGGGCGTCAAGTGCCACAGAACCCATGAGTTCCTGGTTCTCAGCTCTAGAAAAGCAAAAGACGGGGAGGAAATAATTAAGCGCCTGTCTGACGCTCTGATTTCCTGCGGTCGAAGGATCAAAATAGGCAACTATTAGCGTTTTGAGAAGCTCCGAGGATGTGTCATGGTCAGTTACTACACGGCCTAGCAGCAATTTGCAGACAGCAACTGTTGCCGCACCCTGAACTTCCGGGTTTTTAGAGCCAGATCGTAGTGCCCGGACATACACCTTCAACAGTGCCGGGTTTGCCGAGAGCAATTGTGCTCCATGCACATTCAAAATGTCGGTTAAGATCTGGAGTGCGGTGATCTGAAGAGCCGAATGCCCTTTGCTGAAGAAGTGCATGAAGAGGGTCAGGTTTTCTTCGGCAAGCGGCCGGTCGAGGAGCGAACATAGTCCTAGACAAACTAGCCCGCGCTCTCGAACCGGGGCTTCATGACTGCGGACTGCGGGGACGACTAGGTTATTGAGCATGGACACCAGGTGGTCGTTCTGCTGGAGAGTCCCTTCCACGTTGGAAAGCATGCATTGGACGATATGTAGGCATTTCATATTGATCATGATCTCCCTGATCGCTTTCTCCCGAGCTTCCTCCTCGCTTATGCTGTTGTCCGCACCGTGTTTTCCGTTCTTGGTAGGGGTGCTATCGCCGCTGACCTCAGATCTAGCCGAATGGAAGCTTTCCTCCCCATCGCCGACCGCGGACTCATCGTCGACGATAGTATCGTGGACATCAGCGACTGCCTCAAGTACAACACTGCAGAATTCCTTTTCGCCTGCGGTGTCCGGTGCACATATGTCTCGAAGCACTTCAATGGTCAGCTTGGTGATTTCATCAGGCAGTTCAGGTATGGAAAGGGTTTGTCGTAATAGGGCAAACATCTTGCGTCGACCAACTTCGTCAGAGTAATCCAAAGTGAGAATAATGTGAAGAAGTTGCTCGACGATGAACTCTTGTTCAACCGTATCTTCTTCCTCATCCCCCTCTGTGCTGTCCTGGCTACCGACTCTCTTGGTGGCTTCAATGAGAACGTTTAGATAGCGTTCGAGAAAGAAGGCGAGCTTTGTGACCTCGGGTAGTTTCTCCTCGATTAGAGACTCATACTTCCCCTTTCCCTCAGTCCGACAGAACTCGTTAAAGCTCCGGGCAATAAAGATCGATTCGGCGCTAAGAGTCTCCCAAAAATGGTCATCAAATTCTACGGCATCGCGGTAGTCCGGCCTACCTTCCCAAAAACCCTTCATAGCATCCAACGCAACGCCATTTTCAACGCCAGAGTTAACGACATCTATACGTTCAAGCAATTCGAGAAGGCTATCCAAAGTCGGAGGGGCCGATACAGCCGGTTGCTCGCCATCCTCAGGCGGGTTGACACCGGCACAATCCTCGATCCAGCGCTCGCGGAATAATCTTCCAGCAGCCTTTCGGACATTTTCATCTCTATCTCGTAGTCCCCACCGGAGTAGCTTCTCTCGCATCGAAAGGGAGAGATGTCGGAAGTCGCCGAGCGCGGGTAGCAACCTAGAATAGACTGCGCGACGAGTGGCTGGATCTTGGTCTCTGGCCCTTTCTAGAAGGTAGGGGAGAGTATTCGGAAGAATAGGTAGATTGACAAGAAGCGAGCGCCTCACGTCGGCGCTGGGGTCGTTCTGCAAAACTTCTAGGAGCTTCTCAAGCAAGCCAGTCTCGGCGTCATCATCACTATCATCCGAGTTCACCATGCCCTCAACTTGATTACCGGCCAATCTCCCGAGACCAAGCACAGCTTGTGAACGAACCATGGCTTCCTTGTCGCGGATTCTCTTCAGGAGGCCATAACGCAACTTCTGGAATAAGTCATCATCAATGGCGTCTAATGAGTTGATGACATGAGAGATTAGCTGTGTTGATCTATATCTAACAAACTTGTCCTTGGCGGTTAGCAAAGGCAAGATAGCTTCCATGACCTGAGTGGTGAGACGAGTGCTTGGAGTTTCGGGCATGGTACTAGCATCGACATCTTCTTCTCCTAGCAGCTCATTGTCCTTGTCATTGGCGTGGCGTAGGAACAGGCCGACAAAGCGTATTGTCTTCTCGCCAACACCTTCGCTCTTTTTCACGGGCATGGCTCTGAGGACGCATCGGGAAAATTCGTCGTTGAAGTGAGTTTCGTGGAAATCAGTGGAAGCGGCCTTTTTGGGACGTGTCGGCTCATAGCAGCAAGCCTCATGAATCTTGCGGAGGTTAACAACCAGTTTTCTATGGGTGGCGGTAGTCTTCTGGGCATCACGAAATATTGCGCATATTTGTGTCCGCAGTTCATTTTCGGGAGCCTCTTCGGGGACGTCGATATTGGATGACGATGCGCGGGATGTAGCAGAGCCGCGTGGGTTCAGCGTCGCGCCAGATGCTTTATGAGATACGGCAGCAGAGCTACGCCCAGACCTTGCGGATACTCGAGCTGGCATGATGACGGTATTATATCGGTTACATGTACGAATTCCTGGCGTTTGTTTTTTTTTGGGGGGGGAGGGGGGGGAATTCGGTGCACAACCTAAATGCTGTAGATGATATGCGTCTTTGAAAAGCTTATCGTGATAAGTTATGGTGATTTTGGGACCTTGAAAGTTCTAGCTCGAAGTTTCCAATTATTATTATGTCACATCCCACGCAATGTTTTTGTATTTGCGCCGCGACTTCCAATCAATAAACCTAAGTGGCTGCTAGGACAACACAGCAGCCACATGTGCCCCGCCTTCCCTACCTGGTTGTCTAGTACTAAAATGGATAAGATCCATGGATCCAGGTCGAGATTATCGCAGCTATCGATAATGGCCTTATTATCAATCTTTTTTTTCTTTCTCCAAGCGCTTTAACTAATAATTTTTCAATTAACTCTCTACCACATATTTTGACTGGAACCGATTCTAAACACGACGGGTCAAAATGAGTGGCAATAGCGAATTAAAGAGGTCTCGGGCGCAAGCTACAGACTCGAAAGTGCCTTCGAAAGATACCGAGTCCGCCGTCGAACCGCCTACCAAGAAAGCCCGAATTGAGGAGAGCAAGTCTCTCTTCGTACGATCGCTTCCTCCCACGACTACAACTGAGACACTGACCGATTTCTTCTCTCAACACTTTCCAGTGAAGCATGCTACCGTTATTCTTGATCCCCAGACCAAACTCTCTCGTGGCTACGGCTTTGTTACTTTCACCGATGCCGATGATGCTAAGGAGGCGAAAGAAAAGCTTAGTAAACAAAAGCTAGATGGTCGTCCCCTCGTATTGGAGATTGCGGAGCCTCGACACCGTCAATCAGCTTCCGAGTCAGCCGGTGTTGTTGCAAGGAAGGCCGAGAGGCAAGAAATGCTGGCTGAGGCTCGTAAAGCCCCCAAGCTGATTGTGCGGAATCTTCCTTGGAGCATCAAAACCTCAAACCAATTAGCCGCATTGTTCCAAAGCTTTGGAAAAGTTAAGTATTCAGACCTTCCTAATGCCAAAGGAAAACTGTCCGGATTTGGCTTCGTCACAATGCGAGGCCGAAAGAATGCGGAGCGGGCTATAGAAGCAGTCAACGGAAAAGCTGTTGATGGTAGAACCTTAGCCGTTGATTGGGCCGTCGACAAGAAGACGTGGGAAGACCAGAAGCACCAGCAAGGAGATGACGATGCCACGCAAAAACGTACTAAGCCCACGAATTTGGACGGTTCGTTAAAAGACGACGATGCTAACTTAAGCGAAGTGCATGAAAGTCAGGGCGAAAAGAGAAATGAGGATGACGATGAGGAGGATGAAGACCTGAAAAATTTCATGAAGAATCATATGGAAAATCTCGAGGAAGAAGATAGTAGTGCCGACCCGGAAGAGGCTGGTTCTGATGAAGTGATTGAGGATGAGGGTGAGGATGAGGATGCATCAGAAAGCAAGCCTGCCCCCAAGAAGCCTCTTATGACAGATAACAACTCGACCGTTTTTATCCGGAACCTACCCTTCACGACGACAGACGCAGAGCTGAAGTCTCACTTCGAACAATTTGGACGGATACGCTATGCCCGTATAGTCGTTGATCGAGCGACTGATCGAGCGGCAGGCACGGGTTTCGTTTGTTTTACCAGCGAAACCGATCTCAAGGAGTGCCTGAAGGGTGCGCCACGCGCTCAGAAATCCGCGATAGCAAACAAGAAGTCAATCCTGCAAAACGAATTGGCTGACGAGCAAGGCAAGTATACTATCGATGGTCGCATCCTTCAGGTGTCTCAGGCCGTAAGTAAAGATGAAGCGAGCCGCCTCGCGGAGACAGGAGCTGCCGTCCGGCAAGGCAAGGACAGAGACAAACGTCGACTATACTTGCTATCCGAAGGGACCGTCATGCAGGATTCACCCCTGTACGCAATGCTTGCCCCCTCGGAAATCAAGATTCGCGAACAGAGTACTACCCAACGAAAAAAGCTCATTCAAAGTAACCCGAGTCTGCACCTAAGCCTTACCCGCCTGGCAATCCGCAACATCCCTCGTAACATGGATTCAAAGAAACTTAAGGCTTTGGCTCGCGAAGCCGTCGTTGGTTTCGCTCGGGATGTAAAGGAAGGCCGTAGACAGCCGCTCTCTAAAGAAGAAACCGCCCGCGGCGGCGAGGAGGACAAGGAGGCCGAGCGCCGGCGTAAGGAGAAGGGGAAGGGGATTGTTAAGCAGGCAAAAATAGTATTTGAGAATAAAGAGGGGTCAAAGGTCCCCGAGGTGGACGGTGCTAGCAAGAGTCGAGGTTATGGTTTCGTCGAGTATTCCTCGCACCGGTGGGCACTCATGGGCTTGCGATGGCTGAACGGGCACGCTCTGGATAACGCGACTGGGAAAACACAACGCCTCATAGTCGAATTTGCTATCGAGAACGCGCAGGTTGTGGCGAGGCGGCAGGACTTACAAGCAAAACAACAGATGCGAGGCAGCCAGCGCTCTGACGAACAAAATACAAAGGCGTCTAGTACTAGGCCCAAGGGAAAAGACTTTTCTGTATCGAAGGGTAGGCGGCAGGCAGCGAGGGAAGAAAATGAAATAGTGAACAACAAACCTGATACAGCTGGCGGGGAGGGTTCTGCTCGGGATACCCTGCAGCAGAAGATCATCGCGAGGAAACGGATGGTGCGGAAAAAGAAGGCACAAAGTCGCCGGTGAAACTTGGTCGCCCGCATGTCACTACAAGGCATCCAACTATAATTGAGGAAAGTTCCCTAGGGTGTCCTAAGTAGAGGCTTTGGTAATCTTTTGTTGCTATGACGTTATGGGCATGCCTCAGGGTCATGCTATAGTATTCGGAGGGGTTGGCTGGTAACTTAGATAGGCAGATACACTTGCCTTTGCCTATGCCTTATTCAACGCATCTGAACATACTTCCTGCAGGAATATATACTAGGTAGTTACCTATGCGAGGAAACGTACAACGCCGAAATACTTCAATACGTCATCTCGTCCAGAACCAGCCGCTGACTTTTCCACTCCCCCGAATATTTGCCTCGCCGCTCACGGAAGACGAGGTTGTAACTTCAGTATCAGAACTCGAGGTTTCCTTGCCTTTACATAACGGGGTTCTACCTGGGAATGCGCGCGACCATGCCCAGCTGGTTTCTTCGCCTTGTGCTATTAAATTACCGTCCGCGTCAAATTGTCGTGTAGTCGTCGTCGTTTCGGTTCCACCATTACGAGTGCGTTCTTGAACTGTTTTTAGGATCTTGCCGCCGCTAGGAGTTTCTATGGTTTGAGAAACTGGCGCTGTCTTGGGATCCGAGAAAGTGGGATCTTGGGTTGACCTGGGTTTGGTATCAGTCTGTTTCGCGAGAAGAACGTCTATTCCAACTCGACTATTTGTAGTAAATTTGGATGGAGAGTTCGTATACAGGGCTTCTTCTGTATCTGCCTCTTGGCACTGGTTTGTTTCGGCTTCGGGTTTAGATGATTCCTCGTTGTATCTAGTCCAGTCGTGGTCAGACGGTGGGAAATGATATTCCCAGTGTGGAAAAGCAACTGCTGACCACGTGAAAGTTTGCGGTTGGCTGAAGGTCTTCTCCTTAGTCCGAAATAGATAGGGTGATGCCAAGCCGTAGGATAGCTGACGCTCGGCTGTTGAAGAAAGCGGAAAGTAGGCGCCCCAAAGACTTTGTCGTCCAATGCTACTCACCCACGCCTCGACGGGAATGCCCCAAGGGGAGTATTTGAAATTTTCGAACTGTTTGGCCAACAGAAGCCTCCGCAGATCAGAAAGTGGTCGCCCATTGCTCGCTACCAAGAGATCTTCGAATGCATCTCGGAAGGTAAAGCAATCTGGGTAATCTGGAGGTGCGTCGTTAGGGCGTGGTTGTGCCAAAGACTGAAGATTTGCTGGGGAATAAGATGATGAAACAGCCCAAGAAAGAACATCGTCTACGCTAGCATTCCCTCCGTCGCGACTTAGCATTTCCGAATTTGATGAGGTGGTTTCTGGCTCCCTTGGAAATGAATTATAATCTGGACTGACGGTTGACATATTATTGCCGGTATTTGTGGCCACAGTTGTCGATGACCCAAAGATAGTATAGAATCCTCGTTGGACGTTATTATCAATGTGTCTTTTGAAACGGATGAAAGGGTTATCGGACGAGTCATCGGACGAGTCGTCGGTGGCCATGATTCCACTTGGATCAGGATGTTCTCCACCTGAACCTACGTTCAAATTGAACTTTTCATTCGTCCCAAAATTGAACAAGTAGTGAAATGTGTATGGTGATAACGTTGACGATAGCGATAGAAAGTCTAATTTTCAAAAGCTCTAGATGGTAGAACCTGTAAGATGTTGAAAATTGAAGTGGAGTGGAATCGACGGTACCTATATAGTTCGATACCGACGTTAACGTTATGACATCGAACTTCTGATCGCCTTGTGGGGTACCTGCCTACTACAGTACATTTGGGTACCTACATAATACATGGATGATGCTACCTAGTATGCCTAGGTAGTCCCTGCAGTTGAAGCACCTACCTGTTAGCTGCATATATTGGTAATTTCAACTTTCAACAGCGACTTCGTCATACGAACTGAGCCTTCTTCTTCTTCTTCTTCTTCTTCTTCGACCTTTCACTTCAACGTGACTCTCTCGCTTTATCGTAGACCATGGGGCATGGTAAAAGCAGTCTTTAGCTTACACTTCTATTCACCTAGCATACATTGTCACATGGTAAATCAACTTCCATGTGCTACAATTGGACATGCACCGTCACAATGTCTTCCCACTCTCGACTGTGCTTCTCGTCGCAGCTAACCTCCTCATACCCGTCGCAATTGTCCTCTTCGCGATTGGTTTCTTCCCCTATAAGCCGTTCTTGCCTGGCCTAGCCGAGTATAATTCCTTCGATTATGGTCCTCCACCTGAACCGCCCTTCGATCGTCTCATATTTATGGTCATCGATGCTTTGCGCAGGTTTGTCGCCTCAGCGCCAATCACCATCTAATGAAATGCACCCATCCGACTGACTAGACTAGCGACTTTGTGTTTACAAATAACTCGGGATTTCACTTCACGCAAGGGTTAGACGCATTGGGAACTAGAAATAATACTTATGGCTTGTGTTGCTGATACGAATATTCTAGTTTGATTTCTGACGGCCTTGCCGTCCCTTTCACTGCCCATGCCACTTCGCCAACTATTACAATGCCCCGGATAAAGGCTATTACTACAGGATCTACTCCTTCCTTCCTCGATGCTATACTAAGTTTTGACGAAGCCGACACCTCTTCTACCCTCGCCGCTCAAGATACCTGGCTTGCCCAGATGAAGGCCAAGAAATCCGGAAAGTTGGTCATGTACGGTGATGACACATGGCTGAAATTATTTCCTGGACTGTTCGATCGAGCTGATGGCACTTCGAGCTTCTTCGTTTCGGACTTCACAGAAGTCGACAACAACGTGACGAGGCACATCCCCGACGAGCTGCGCAACGATGACTGGAATACAATGGTACTCCACTACCTCGGCCTCGACCATATTGGCCATAAAACTGGTCCCCGAGGCCCAAATATGATCCCAAAGCAGCATGAGATGGATGATATTGTTCGCATGATTTACGAGGCTATAAAAACACAGCCACACCTCCAGTCGACACTACTAGTTATCTGCGGCGATCATGGCATGAATGATGCCGGGAACCATGGCGCCTCCTCTCCTGGAGAGACTTCGGCCGCTCTGGTGTTCGTGTCACCAAAATTGAAGTCCGTTTCCAACCCCGTCAAAGTTCCGGCAGACCTAGCCGAAGATTTCCAGCACTATGGTGTCGTCGAGCAATCTGATCTCGCCCCAACTCTGGCCGCCTTACTCGGGTTCCCTGTGCCGAAGAATAGCTTAGGGTCTTTTATATTACAATTTTTGTCTTTTTGGCCAGAGAGTAAGCAATCCGTGCATGGCTAGTGTACACCCTTCTGACATATTTAAGGACACGATAAACGCCAGATTTTATTGCGTAATACAAGACAGATTCTTGATATTGTGGCTGCGACTTACATTGGTTCACCATTCACTGACGAGCAACGTAGCCTAGAGTGTGCTCACCCTGGTTCGGTAGGCGAGGAACTAATATGTGAATGGCAGAATATTAGCAAATCCGTCGAAGAAATGCCAGTAGGAACCACGAGTGATGACTGGATTATGGATGCGTCGAAGGTGCGAGATAAAGTCCGAAAATATAAATATTTCATTCTAACCCGATGACAGTGGCTGTCCAAGGCGCAGACGTTAATGAGTAGTGTGGCTAGCAATTACGATATGTCTATGTTGACCTATGGCGGATTGACTACGGCGTTGGCCTCCATCTTGGCTACCTATGCCCTCACAACCTCGCCTTCCATGACGGCTTCTGGTCTGGTGCCGTTTGTTTTAATCACCACACTATATGGTATAATGATGTTTGCTAGCAGCTATGTTGAAGAAGAACAACATTTTTGGTATTGGGCTACGTCCGCGTGGCTGCTTTACTTGACCATTAGATCGTGAGCATCACTAATTGCCACCCCACTATATGGAGCTGACATAGGAACAGGAACCCAAAGATGACGCATAAGTCTCTTGCCACGGGCTTGGTTATTCTTGGCTCTATGAGGCTCGTTCGCGGATGGAACCAGACCGGCCAGAAATTTGCCGGAGAACCCGACATCGTAACCAGCTTTGTTGCTGCGAACCCGCCGCTGCTTTGGTGTCTTGTTGTGGCGACGTATGCGATGGTTTCATCAGAACTATTCAATGGTCTTGGGGATATTCCGGCTGCGATATCAGGTTCCGTAGTTGCAGGGCTTGTGACGTCTGCGATCTCCTTCAAGCTCGCTTTCACCAATGAAGATGCGCCTGAATTGGTTGTTGGGCTTGCGAGAACACTTGTGGACATATTCGATGGTCCATCGCTCGTGAATCGGGCAAGGGCAGTCTTCCTTGGTCTCGGGCTTACTTTGATATATCCTCTGCACAGCCTCTTAACGTCGGAAAAGAAGTCTTCTAAGGAGAAGGGTGAGTTCTGTTAAACTGCACAGTCGAGATGAGACTGCTGACTTCTTACGTAGCAATGCGCACTCTACATCACTTGTATACGTTATTTGCGTTAACGCAGTCCCGAGTAACGAACATACCTCTCTTCCTACTATTTCAAGCTATATATCTATGCCTAAGTCACCTTCGCTTAAGCGTGATCGAAATCACAATTTCCTCACTACTCCTGCAATTTTCCTCATTCTTTGCAATGGGGGGCTCCAACGCAATCTCTGGCGTAGATTTGTCGAGCGCATACAATGGTGTCAGTGGCTTCAACATCATTGCCGTGGGAGCCCTAACGTTTCTTAGCAACTGGGCAGCTCCGGTCTGGTGGACGTCGGCTTTGAATTTGCTACTACTCCGGAGACAATCGGTAGAACGTGATCACCATTTCCTTTACCGACAGCACACGGCGATATTGACCATCTTCGTTACGGTGACCCTTGGGTTTGTGATGATGGCTTGCACAGCCTTGAGAACCCACTTATTCATCTGGACGGTATTCTCGCCAAAGTATCTATATAGCATGGCATGGAGTTTAGGTCAGCATATGATTATCAACGTAGTGTTTGGTGGTTTCTTATGTTGGCTTGGTCGCACATGAAACGACACAAGTTGCAATGGGGAGATATGTACATAGATGGTTCGACTTGCATGTTAATTGGGTAAATGACTGGTAGGGATTAGAAAAAAAAAGGGGGGGGTGGAAGAACTTAGGGGGGAGCTGATAAAATACATACATATTATATATTTACATGTGTATATTATCTACCTATGTATCAAATGATCACTTTACCTAGCTAGTACTTATTATTCTTCTCTACATACTAGGTACATACATACATGTGTAGATATTTATCTTAGGTACGTAATACGTATAGTATCAAGTATCGATACGTGTGCCCATAAACCTGAAGTGATACATGTATGTATGATGCACTTATCAGCCTTACCGTTTATATGTATTCATGTACTCGCGTACCTATGTACATTATAGATACATATACCTAGTACCTAGTACCTAGTAGTGTCTTAGTATACCCAGGTAGGTATAGCATTTAATGTTGTGCATTGTGACCCAGTTAATAAGATTTGATAGCTACCGTTTTTGTCCTTAAACGGTACTCCGCTATGACCTGTATGAAGCCCGCTGAAAATGATGTTATCAGCGTTAATGATCGAACAAGGATCAATGTGCGCGGGCTGTCTAAAATACATACCTACTAGGTACTTTGTAGGTATGTATGTACCGAACAGCTGGTAAAAAATCAAAAATCAAATAAAGATTACCTACTTATACTTCGTGACCCGTGTCATCTTACCTCCTTCCATCTACCCCCTGCTCGGATAACTCGCAATTTATTAACATTACCACATTCACTCTCTCTTTAATATTATCTTGCTACATAGTGCTTTTTTCTTCTTTCCCACTCCCTCCATTCCTTCAGTTTCTAATATCACTTTAATAATCCTTTCCTTTACACTTTTCTTCGTTGTCTATTGTCTGTTGTTTACTTAGCATTGTGTGGGATGAAGGTACATACTAACTATGCATTTCGATCTAATCTTATCTTCATGGTATTAATTTTTGGGCGACTTTAGAGAAGGGTTCATTCGAGCGCATCCATATCACCTAGCCTGCCTGGACATTAACAATATTAAAACTATTAATAAGATACTTAACACGTCAACCGAGACCCGCCAATTTTTAACTATCACAAACCCGATTTATACGATTTATACCCTGATTGCGATAGCGACCGCGCATGCGATCGCAGCCGCGACAGTGCAACGCGACTACAATCACGACCGCAACTAGCAACAATCAACTACGTCTCCTTTCTATCGGGGTTCATAGCAAACACCCCCCTTCTTAAATGTATCCTGGGGTCGGGAACTATGTGGCGGCGTACCTATTTGCTTCTAATTCTGGTACGGCTTGGATTTGCTCTTTCGCCGAGCTATCTTCACCCGGACGAGAATTTTCAAGGTCCCGAGGTCATAGCTGGTAAGCAAAGCCGAAGCTTGGCACTGTTCATGGTAGCGATATATATAGACTGAACTGACGGGTCCTTGTACGTCTTTTGTAGGTCAAATCTTCAGCTATCCGGTCCGACTGACTTGGGAATTTACGAGCGAGCATCCTATACGCAGTGTTTTTCCTCTATGGCCGGTTTACGGGCTGCCTATGCTCTTGTTGCGATGGCTGTGGATTGGCAATGGCAACGACGGCGAGATTCCACCGATCGCCGTATTTTGGACGTTGCGCGTCCTGATGTTTATCATCAGCTTCGTCCTAGAGGACTGGGCTATTCATGAGTTAGTTCAGTCACGGCGGCACCGCCAAGTTGCTCAGTTGCTAGTCGCATCTTCGTATGTAACTTGGACATTTCAGACTCATACCTTCTCTAACTCTATCGAGACACTTGTGGTTGCTTGGTGCTTGGTACTCGTTGAACGCATTCTCGAGGCTTCGGTAAGTACGGAATCATAACCGTTCCCTGTATTGGAAAATTTCCGGTTAATCCTAGGGCTACTGCAGGCTTCTTCTTCCCTAACGGCATCGACGGTCCTCGGTATCGTGGCTGTCTTCGGTGTTTTTAATAGAATAACATTCCCTGCGTTTTTACTTATTCCCGGACTTCAATTGATACCCCATTTCATAAAGAAGTAAGTCATGCTTCCCATGGAACATCTTCTCTACATTCCTTTTGCATCTGGTCGTACCCTGCTGGTTGCTAACCTACGCCCTTCCTTGATAAGACCTTTGTCTTTGCTCGTCATGGCAGCTTCTGGGCTTTTGACTGGTTTAATTGCTATCTCGCTCGATACGTCCTTCTATACTCCGCATTCCATCTCTTGGTCGGATCTTTACCGTCATCCGGTGATCACACCGTTAAATAATCTCCAATACAACATCTCTCCTTCCAACTTGGCGGAGCATGGGTTGCACCCTTGGTACCAGCATATCTTGGTCAACCTTCCACTACTTGTAGGGCCAGCCGTAGCGCTCCTATTTGCGAAACCGCATCTGTCTCTGAGACTTTCATCGGCGATATCCGGCGTGTTTGTTTTATCGATATTCCAACACCAAGAAGCCCGGTTCTTACTTCCCACAATACCACTCCTTCTCTCGTCCCTACAGCTTCCGAAGAACCCAACGCTTTTCAAAGTTTGGGTTGGTGCTTGGGTGGGTTTCAATGTGATCCTCGGCCTGCTTATGGGGGTATATCACCAGGGCGGTATCGTGCCGGCTCAAGTGTTCTTGAGCAAACAACCTGACGCGACGCAGGCTATATGGTGGAAGACGTATATGCCGCCGATTTGGCTTCTGAATGGGAAGAATGCTGTTCTCAATACAAGAGACGTGGCGGGGATGGAGGGAAATGAACTACTCGAAGAACTAGACCGGATAGCAACCTGTGATACACCGGCCGACAGGAGGAACTTTGAATATCTCAAGGAGCGGAATGGCACATATCTCATCGCACCACTCTCATCGATATGGCTGGACCCGTATTTAGATAATAAGGGTCTAGAAGGACTTAGGTTTCGGGAGGTTTGGAGGTATACCAAACACCTGAACCTGGACGATTTAGATTGGGCGGAGGATGGAGTCTGGCCTACTTTGAAGAGGGCGGTTGGCAGACGAGGACTGGCTGCTTGGAGAGTAACCAAGAGCTGCGGTCGTCCTGCGAAGTACGACCAGGTTCAAATATAATGACATCCATACATACCTCCTGACTACGATTTTCCGTCCAGAACTTATCATCCAACGTGAATTCCAACTTGCGGGGTTTTATTTACGAGAATTCACTTAATATTTTGTTGCCACTTACTTGATTATTGACGTTAGGTATCGACCTAGGTAGTAGGTTCCAAGTTGAGGTGCTGCTACATGGTATCATGATGTAAGTTGAGGGGAAAATGGATATCCCGGTGCGACCATTAGACTCTAATATAAACCAATCAAATCTTAGTCTAGTATAGGCACATAAGCATAGGTAATACTACTAGGCAGCTAGGTAGGTATGTAGGTACATAGGTACATACCTAGTACCTATTGGATTTCGATTTGATTCCAAAATTGAAAAGCTTTAATTGGTCCTAGGTACGCATAGTACAAAATATAATTATCTGATTTAAATCCACATATAACCATTGGATTTTGCGATCAGACCTCACTAGACTCTTGCGAAGCTATCGATCTAGGTATTCAAGTTCTTCGTACCGCTCGTAATGGGTGGCTTAAATTTAGAAGTTTTCAAGGTTAGTAAATACTTAATACCATTCTTTCTTCTTCGTCGGTATCGTATGCTTATATCGTATGCTTACCGTGATAGTTCGGCATGTATGTCATGTTCCCAATTGGCATCATGTATTACTTCGGAACCAATCTCGACGAACGATTCTCCGTGCCCGATTTCTGGCCTAAGCCAGAGCAATCGAATAGGGTGCCTTTTAACAAAGACGAGATTCAGGAGGAGCTACAACGATTACGTGCGCGACGTTTATACCTTAGAGACAAGAGGCTCGAAAATGAAGCTCGGCAACACCCGGCGCCTTCCCCAGGCGAGGATCAGGGAAGCGATAGAGCCTAAATGCAAACCCTGAATGGATCGGTGACGGCAACACAAGGCTCTACGAAGTCTTTATGTATGGTAGTGGGGTTATTAAGATGTTATCACGTATTGGCATCGACGGCGTTTGGAGGTACAAAATGGTATTGTCACATTAAACAGACATTGCAAAACGTTTACATTTCTTGAACCCCGATCCGAGTACTCTCTGCTCCCCAAATAGAAAGGAAAAAAGAAAAAGAAAAAGAAAAAGAAAAAAAAAGGTGGATAACATAGGACTGTCTCACAAGACACATGGTATGATCACTCATATATGCTGTAGTTTATAGTAACGAGATCGATATTATAGAGCAAATGATAATAGATAGATTACATGTCAAGGTTATCTTCTATTGTTTCCCAGAGCTCTTCAGACACGGTCCCCCGTTCAACGTTCGCACTTTAACATTTAAGTGTCAGCAGGGAACGTTTGTAGAATTTGGCAGCAGATTGCATATACTTACTAGATAGCCTGCACGTCAGACTCGTTTCGTAGCGCCGCCAGAAGAGAATTGATGGACGCAGCAGCCGTCGATCGATCAAGTTTGACCTTGTCTGCCACTGGCGACCATATAATATCCGAGTCCAAGATCTCTGCGGAGATTGCTTCGCTCATAGCTTGCGCCACTTGGTGAGTCGTATTAGGTTGTGTCCAGAGTACGACATCGCCATTCTCGTCCTGCTCAACATCTTCTGCGCCTGCCTCTAGCGCTTGCATCATGATACCATCGAAGTCGTCGTCGCTTTTGCCTTTGAGGACAATGCGTCCCAACCTCGTGAATAAGTATGCGATCGGCGTTATGGTACCTCCACATTTCCTTATTATGCCTCTAAGATCTTGTAAGGCGCGTAGCTTATTTTCGGTCTCCACCTCGACAACCATTGCTACGGAAGATGGCATCATGATTTCGACGGTAAGGCTCTCCAGGCCCGCGCCGGACGAAGATTTGCCCTGGCCTCGTGCGATTGCTATATCGATGTTTGCTTTGGGCATTCCGGCTGGGATGACGATTCTAGTCAGATATGTTGACACAACGCTGTGCCAGCTGGTGAAGAAGAAGATCCATTACCTTTCTTTGCAACTGCAATCACCGTAGCCAGCCGTGAATTCAGACGCGGGTCAGAACCAAATACTATCTCGGATTCCATCAGCGCTCGTTCGTATCGTAATAAGTGACGTTCATATAATATACGGACGTTTCGAATAGAGCGTCAAGTTCTTGGAAAAGTTGCTATTCTGGGTATTTTTCTTTGCGTCGGCGGCACCTTTTTTATGTCGGATCTTGGACCATCGATTATGGCCGCTACGGAGTAACAAGCTTGAAGAGAGTGATCGGCGACATAGGGCGCATATGACAGTAGGAGCGGTCGACCGCGGCGCAAGGCTCCGACTAGAGATCGAGGACAGATAGGTAGACATATCAACTATAATAATGTTGCAGGTTCCGTTCGATTAAATGAGTACAATGCATGTGTGTACTACCTAGGTAAGGTATCTTAGAATTCAACGTTGCTGACATGGAAGGTAGGTACCTAGTAGGGACTCAGATGTCGAAGAAGTATCTACCTGGTACTCATGTACATACATCAACGTATGCACATAATTATGTACCTAGTATCTATTAAACTTCGAAAGCTATTTGACTAGGTCTACGGTATTTTCAATCTCGTGAAGCTAAAAATGGATATCCATACTTGTAAATTTTGTCAGGTCGCTGCAGCTGCTTAGCTACATATCTGCATATTATGTATGTATTGAGAATGAGTATATATTACGATGATATGATTGGCTTGTAATCTCTTACTTGTGCATATGCCCTTGTAAAGCTTCATATGTCCACTAACTATTACCTAGGTAGGTAGAGGTACCTACATATTAAGGTACGTCTTATTATTTAGGGCACCTTAGAGTGGACCAACATGTACCTGCCTACCAACATTGTAGGTACTATGTAATTCATAGGTAGTTCAGATACACAAAATATCTATTCCTTACTCCATCCATCTCAGATACCCATCCTGGTTATTCATCTATCTTCCACTTCTTGTCAACATCTTGACCAATCCTTATATAATTTGTCGCGATCAAAATCTGCCCCAAGCGTTCCGTCTAGCATATCAATGATCTTCCATGTCAGCGCCAAGTTCCCCTCTTCGAGAGTCTAACGGCGCAGCCCAAGCCGCCGCCGTAGCTCCTCCGCGCCTCTCCTCCACCACTGCGGCTACGTCAAATCCCGAACTCGACCTCCAGAAACTCCAGTCGCTTCCCCCTGAGCAGCAAGACCTATTCTTGTTAAACTTCGTCTCTTCTCTAAGCAAACATGTTCATGACTTGCCAGCCGACGACTGTACCGCACAGCAGTTCTATCTCAAGAAAGAGGTTTTCCAAATCATCAACCTCTCTACGCCCTCTCCTAGCCGAGTAATAAGAATCAACCTTGGCAAGATACTTGCACATGTATTCGGCCATGGCGATAGGAAGTTGCTTTTCGATACTATAAACGAGCTGGTCTCTATAATATCTGGTGGGAAATCTAAAACTGAAACCGAAATTAGGACGAGGCATGCTGCTGTTAGTTGCCTGGGCGATATATATGCTGCCGCCGGCGATAGCGCCATTGGCTTGCACCAATTGGCATGTGGCGCTCTAGTAAAAGTGCTCAAGTCGTCTCAGACGCATGCTGGGTTGCGCGCCGCCGTCCTCGTTTCCCTGGCCAAAATTGTCGGTATGGTACAAACAAGCTTAGACGAGAGTATTGCCAGGGACATTTGGAAGCAAGCACGCAGTGCTGCATCTGGCGACAAGGGCGCTCTAATCGTCGTGTCTGCTTGCCGTTGTTTAAGGGCATTAGTTAAACATACATCGTGTTTTGAGGATTCGGGCGACTTTGAGAATCTTAAGTCCACCATCTTCAAGACCGTTGATTCTAGTTCTTCACACGTAAGACATGCCGCTGCTGATTGCCTTGCTGAGGCCATGGTTAAGAACCATTCCGAGTCCGCACCTAGCGCCGGTCCCCTATCGAAGATCAAGAAGCCGAAGCCCAAATCTCTCAAAAGAGCTTCCACCCAGCAAAGCGTTGTTCTCGATGAGGACGAGGACGTTCCTTCGCGCCCTGGAAGCCCGGCACCTGGCAAAAAAGGCCAAGATCTCATATTGTCGTTAAATGACATATTTAAAACTCTAACAACTCAGTATGTCCGACTATCGACTACAAACAGGGCCAGGGCAGCTATCGGCGTCTGCTACGGGAAGGTTTTGAAACGGTTAGGAGAGAATTTTGTCGAATCCAACTATCTAAAAATTACAGAGAATTTGACTGTTGATCTGCTGGGTCATCAAAACATAGTCAACAATCGATATAGACTCCTTATCTCACGCCGAATTGTCGATACCATCCTCCAGGTCGTAATAGGTCGCAAGATTCTTGGTGAATCGGGGCAAATGACTGTAGCAAAGATGCTCGTCAATGACATATTTAAGAACTACCCTCAGGCGCTCAAGGAACGGCCCGAACCGACGAAACATACCCTGATCGCGGCCCTTGGTGCCGTCGCCTCGCTCATCAGGTCCCTTGGATCTGCTGCAAACAACTTCGCGGAATCCTGCCGAGATGGGCTCTTGCAGGTGCTTCAACATCCCAGTTATAGTGTCCAGGTGTCTGCTTCTTATTGCATGAAAACATTTGTTTTGGCGTGCCCACAGCAACTCCTACCATGCCTCTCCGTTTGCATGAATAGCCTTAGTAGGGAATTATCTCTTCTTGGGGGCGCGCGAACCTCACCGAGACGATGCATTGGTTTCGCTCATGGGTTAGCCGCTGCTTTGAGTGCTAGCCCGGCTCGCCCACTATACGGATCCCTTGATATCAACAACCGAGTCTATTCGATGGCTACCAATCTCCTTAAGTCCAGTGGCCAGTCTGAGCTTCGCGTCTCGAGTACCCAAGTTCAAGTTGCTTGGATTCTTCTTGGGGGTCTTATGTCTTTAGGGCCCAACTTCGTCAAAATTCATCTCTCACAGCTGCTCGTCCTCTGGAAGAATGCCCTGCCAAAACCGCTAGCTAAGGATAACTTCGCTCATCGCAACATCCTCGAGGTTTCCTACCTAACACACGTCAAGGAGTGCGCATTAGGTTCTATCCTCTCGTTCCTTCAGTCCAACAGTCGTTTGTTAACAGTTGACGTATCGAAGCGGATCGCTACAATGCTCCAGAACACGAGCATGTTTCTCAGGATGCTCCCCTCGAAAAAAACCACCGACGATATTTCTCAAAGATTGACGCCTGCATTGCAATTGCAGGATCTCGATATGATGGTCCAGCGACGAGTTCTGCAATGCTACATCACGCTGGTGAATCAAAGCCCAGCCGGGGGCAGCGAGGCGCTCTTACAATCCAATCTTCTTACCTTGGCTATATCTCTGTTCGCCGATCCGGAGAATTATGCGGCTAACTCGCTAAGCTCGTCCATTGCCAATGCTGCAGGTACTTTTGAGACCATCTGGGACGTCGGTGATAACTCTGGCTTCGGAGTAAATGATTTGGTGCGCGGCTTTGGGGTCAAGAGACTCCCCGGGGAAAAGGAAGACACGGCTGATAGTCCGCGGATGGACGAAACTGACCCGGACAAGATGATTGATGACCTCCTACTATCGCCGATTTGCCCTTCGCTGGAGCATGACGCCGCTGTGCTCTATGTGGGCGAACCGGACCCGTCCTTGAATCTCCCAGATCCTCCGGCTACCGAAGTCGTGAACATGGCAATCCAGCTATTTGCTTTCGTCTTCCCGCTCACTCCGGCCAAGGTCCAGGAGAGCGTTCTTGAACAAATCGCCACATTCATCTCGGCTGGGTCTTTGCAGCGCGACCCTGGCCGTAAAGCGGCCATCAACGTCAATGTTGCCAGCGCTCTATACCTTACATTGAAGGTCGCAGTCAAGGAGACATTGTCCTTGCCTGGAAATGTCACCAACTTGGCGGTGGAGAAGCTTCTGCAGGAAATGGCCAGGGGCTTCGTCGTTGATCCGGATCAGTACATTCGCAGCTTGGGTTACGGCACCGTTGCCCGGCTCTGCAATGCGTGCGGCAACGCGTTTACGAATCACGAGATTAAGTACCTAGTTGACACCATCGTGAGCGACCGGGAGCCTAGTGCTCGTGCGGGATGCGCTATGGCTCTGGGATCTATCCAGGCGAAGGTGGGTGGTATGGGCGCAGGGTATCATCTCAAGACTATCACCAGTATTTTGATGTCATTATGTAACGATCCGCATCCAACGGTGCATTTCTGGGCACTTGAAGCGTTGGCTGACGCTGCAGACGCCGCTGGCCTTGGTTTTTCGCCATACGTCTCCGGCACGCTGGGTATGGTATCCCAACTTTATCTTTCCGATACTCACCACCCAGAAGTGTCTTCTGCTATCTCCATGAGTCTAGAGATGGAACTATCTACTACAGCTGCTATCACACGTTGTATTGACTCCCTGGTCAATGTTGTAGGCCCGGATTTACAAGACTCGACCAAATCACGTGAATTGATTCTCACTCTTGTCGATCAGCTGCAAGACGAGGAAGATATTCTCGTTCAGCGTGAAAGTCTAGGGTGCTTAGAGCACCTCTCCCTATACGCTCCAGGACATATGGTATTTGGTGATTATGTCAAGACGCTACAGAAGTACCTCAACTCCGAAACCCCTGGCCTTCGTGATGTTGCGGTCGATGGCCTTTATAACCTGATGAAAAGGGATTCTCGTGATGTACTAGAAGCAGCAAACCCGGGTTTCGAGGACCAACTATGGCTCGTTCTAGACGTGTCGCCTAGCCATGATGGAATCCGCAATGTTGTTCGGAACTGGTTACGTCAGACCTCGTTAACAGAGACTGGATCATGGCTTCTCCGTTGCCAAAACGTGCTCAAGATGACGCGGCAAAAACCCGTTGAAGACCCACGCAGTATTATCAGAAGGCCAACCGCCGCCATCGACTTACAAGACGAGGAAGTTGCTGGATTTGCCGCAGCCGCCGGCGCCGCTAAAGATGACAAAGACGCGGTCTCAAGCTCAGAAATGGAGCCCTTGCGCTGGCAGGTGAGGACATTCGCAATGAGTTGTCTCAACGACATATTCTTGTTGATCGGGAAAGACGTTGCCACAAATGGGGAGTCGCCCGCACAGTCTGCTCTCCAGGCTAGGATTGCCGATGTTATCCGGATGGCTTTTTCGGCATCGACGTCCAGCGTATTAGAGCTGAGAATATGGGGCTTGAAGATTATTGGTGCTGTTCTGAGGATGTTTGGCAAAGCGCCAGACCCCGATTTTGACGAAGCAATGCTCCTGGAACAGTATCAAGCACAGATCAGCTCGGCCTTGACTCCTGCCTTCGCTGCTGATTCTTCCCCTGAGCTTGCCGCGGAAGCCGTGAATGTGTGCGCCGCATTTATCTCCACGGGCATCGTAACTGACGTCGATCGGATGGGTCGCATCTTAAAGACGCTTGTCACTGCCCTCGAGAACTTTTCGACGGAGACAGAGAATGTTGGAATTGGTGATCTCAAGGGTTTAAGCTCCAACGCTCAAGTGATGGTGAAGATGTCAGTCTATTCAGCATGGGCCGACCTCCAGGTTGCCAGTTCAGAGCAGAGATACCTGCTTGAAGTACTCAAACCACATATTGGCACGTTAACGCCGTTATGGCTAGCTTCTTTGCGGGAATTCGCTCGGTTGAGGTTTGAGCCAGATATCTCGATGACTCTGGGGCCTCCATCTATGTCAGGAAGCCTGGATACGATCTACGCCGCACTCAACAGAGAAACGCTTTTAAAATTCTACCAGGATTCCTGGCTGAAACTCGTTGATGCTATCGCAAGCCTGATTGAACAAGATAGCGAATTTGTATTCGACGCTCTAGATGGGAAAGAAGCTGACACGTCAGGGGTCAACGGCCCTTCCAAAAGTGCCGATATCAACTATCGCGATGAACCAGTCGCATTTTTCTTCGTCCTCTTCGGGATTGCTTTCGAGGCACTCGCGACGAGGTCGGGCCAAACCGACTCCTTAGCCACCCAAGAGCAGACGCTTGAAATACTCCAGGCTCTTAAGAAGATCTTGCACCCGAGTGTTTCAGGCCACGCTATCTATAGAGAGGCTATTTTCTCCGAGACGATGGATTTGCTAGATCGCCTCGTCCTAACGGAAGGTCTCGATGTTCAAGGGGTTATCGTCGAAATAGCTCGCGCTCTTTGCGTCGCTCATCCTTCGGCAAGGAAACAGGAGCAGCCCGAGGACGGCGACCTAAGTGAGGATATCGAGCAGTTATTTGAGCTCACTAGGATCATCGTTCTTGTCCTCTCTGGTCTATTGCCTAACCTCACCGAGGCGAATCAACCGGTGCGCCACCTTTTGACTGAAGAGGCCGTTCTCCTCGTGAGAACTGGGTTAAATGCCATTGTGGACGCGGCCGAGGTATTCCCATCTATCATCAAAACGGACCTTCATGCGTGTATAATTCATATATTCGCCACGATACTTGCGACGCCTTCCTGCCAAGAGGTTATAGTTCCTCAGGCCCTGCCAACATTCAAGAGGTTCACGGCAAGTATGACTAACTCTCGCAGCTCAGCGGAGGGAAAGTCTGTGACCGACATGCAGCTGCAGGGCTGCTTACGCCGGTACTTATCCATCTATCTCAATGCACAGAAACGTGAGACCCCTACTTCCTTGCAGTGCGTCAAAAATTGTCTGCTCGCCATTACGATTCTCTTCACCGGAGGAAGTAATCGACTTGCAGCTAGCGATCGTCTCGTCGCGAAATTTCTAGACGAAGTGGTCGACTGCCTGACAGATCGCATGGTGAGCATCCCTGGCCGACCCGCCTCGTTCCGTTCCGTCACCTTGCTAATTATACCGTAGACTGCAAAGATCGCGGCGAACTGCGTTCGGTCTCTCTTACTTCAACCTTCTCCTACGCATGCTGATCAATCTATTGCCCGGTATCTTCTACCCCGTCTTATCTCCTTCGTTGTCGACACGGAACCTGAGGATCCAGAGGACGCGCGCAAACTTGTATCGCACACCTTGACGCAGTACGTCGCGACCCTGGGGAGTGGGCACACTCAGATTGCTATGTCTATCATAGTACCGGCAGTGTTGTCTCGCGCCTCTAGCGAAGGTGCTGAGGTGTATCATGAGACGAGCGCAAGATTGCTGGAGCTGGCCTCAGCAGACCAAGCGGGCTTCAGAGGTGTAGTAGCAGCAATGAGCGATGGTCAAAAAGCCTTCATGGAGGAAGTTATTCGTTCTGGCCGGCAGACGCGTGGCCCAGCGAAGGGTTCCGATAACCCAGGGCAGCCGAGCATTGCGCTAAAGATGGACTTTGGAGGTTGAGGGATGAACTGCATCAGGCAAGTCAGGATTGCCGTACATGTGGACAAATAGTATCATATCGAGTCATGTCTATCATTACCTAATCTACCTACCCATAACCCAGTTTATCTGTGATGAGTTTCCGAGAGCCAGGTGCAGCACACCATCTGCTATGAAACCTCCCTAACCTCCATTTTTCATTTTCGCCTTAGTTACCTATCAAAAGATAAACTGTTCAAATAACATACAAGCCGCAGGCAATACTATTACCATAGGGTGAACAATGCCAATGGCCCCCTGTTACAATGTTCTATCTACGCCCATAGACGTTTAGAATTTGAGTCATAACTCGGGCATATCCGCAAGTAGGTTTGTGACGGGAATGAGTGAGGTCTTCGTCGGTAGGTTGAGGGGTCGCTCCTGTAGAACACCGGCGGTAGGTGGAGCCGGTGTAGAGGTTTCCCTGGAGCAATCATGACACTCTTCATCCAAGGTCGTGGCTATGGCTGTACCCGGGTCACTACAGTGCTGGAGGGGGTACGGATCGGCGACGGTGCCTAGACACTCGAAGATGGTGTTCTCGATGCAGCCGCAACGATAAGTGAACTGAACAGATGAGCACATGATGGATGTTGCAGGCTGCAGGACGTGGCGACGAGAGATGGAGAGGCGAGGATGAAAAGAATCGGATATTAGAGGGTAACAGGGAAGGACGTCTGAATATCAGCTACTGCCTTCGAAGGCGCAATGTACCTGCTTTCTATACTATGTACATTTAAGGTCAAAGTTGCGATTGCTTACATGTACGTACTTGGTATGTTCTAAGTACCTAAGGTAGGTAGGCAGGTAGGTGCGATAGGACACATACTTATGTATATACCTACCTACCTAGTAGGTATGTATGTATCTACCTCAGCTACCTATTAGGTACCTCTATATAGGTATATATCTACCCGTAGGTATGTAGTACCTAGTAGGTAACTTCAATGTTATGGATAAGAAATATATGATAATGACAACCTTAGGAAGGCGTATTCCCGGTTTATGGCTCATGCTGTTTTTACTTGTCATGCCCTCGTGCACCCGTGTCCTCATATCCTCCACTCTCATCCTATAACCCCTATTCACACTCCATTTACGAAGTAACAAGTCTTATGAACCTAGTTTTTTTTTTGACACTTTAGAAGACCATGATGAGCTAATATTGCTTAGGCATTATCGGTTCTACACAATATCAAGAATAGATAAATTATTACTCAAGCTGCCCTCTAGTCAACCGATAAAAGCGGACTTGATCAATACAACGTCGTTAGATGCTTTGCATATAGTTTCAAATACTATATCAACAATATTCCACCGCGGCGGAGAAAACACTCCAATGGCTCCTTCGCAGCCATCACAACATTGGTGTAACTGATAGTTAAGAGCTCATCATTCGCTACCTCTCCTTTTCATGCCCCTTAATCCGTATCTGTCGGCTGTATTTCCGGTAACAGTGTCCCCGCAGATGGCGGATGGGCCTGAACCAAGTTGTCTCCTCGGGAGCAAGATGGTTCCGTAGATAATTCATTTGCTGTTGGCCTATACTGGTGCTCTTCACCACTGTCTTCGCATTCGGCGGGGACCTCTTCCCATCTCGGCAGCGGGGGTAAAGATGGTTGTTTAAGTTTTCTGGGTCTGGTAGTATCCATCAATGGCCTGACCTTCAGTTGATCTAGAGGCACATCCATTTGTCCCGTCCGAACTTTATAGCTCGCAAGACCTAGCCTCAGACGCAGTTTTTCTGCCTTCTGCATTATATATTAGCATCGGGTGCCTTTATCAGCTTTATGGCCGTCTTTTGTTTAACTTACCTGCCGAGCTTCCTCACGGCTCATCGAAGACTGCCGGCGGGGCGATTCCGGCGGACTACGCACACTCACTTCGACATCTGGTTCCGTTATCGTCGTGGCCTGGGATGTGTCGACAACCGAGTTGTCAAACATCGACGACACCTCGTCAGGCGACTCTGACCGTTGGTGCCCGACACATGAATCATGGCCATTGATATAGTTGTCATCATCGTTATCATTTTCGCTCTTATAATCACCGTCGCACGGGTCCTAACTCGCCCCATATTAGCTCGCATATTACCAATACAAGGTGCAATACACCGTATCCGTACCATTGTCGTGTCCTGCTCTCCCGTCATTATAAGGTGAACATCTTCTCCAGTAGAGACGCGCTGTCTCTTAACCGGTTGGTTTGGTGCACACTCCTGGCGTTGATTGATGATACCTCGATCTCCGAGAGACCTCTTCATAGCACCTGGGTCGAGTTGGGTCAGACCACTCGGCGATATAATCGACTTCGATAGTTCATGGCTAGAATTTGATGTGTTTAAGGTATTGCTATCGATAGGCCCTAAGGCGCGTCGCTTGCTAGGTGATATATCCATTGGGTACATAGGTAGATAATCTAGTAAATATTGGCTGCTTCGAGAACGAAAAGGTTGAAATGCCTAGGTTCGCCGATGTTGGCGAATTTCAACGTTGAATGTTGTCAAGTTCAAATGCTATTCGCGGCAACCCGGGTACCTGCTTTGAGGTACCTAGGTAAGTATTTAAGTATTATAACGTCGCGCGCCGCGCTTTCTTAGAATCGCGTCACTCCTAGGCTTGCAAGCTTCATATTTCATATTTTATGCACTACCTAATATTTACTTATTCCTTCTTTAGGAATAGACTCCCTGCATAACTTAAGCTCATTGTAACCCTGAGCTCAGGGGGTCCCTGCTAGTCACTCAGGTACCATAAGCCGAGATCAATCGTATCTACCCCGCTGTTCACACCTTAACGTCGATCGGTCTGCTTGGTGACGCTATCCCGCTTTTCGTAGATATGTACCTACTATTATGTAGCAGTTTAGAGTTGGCGTCGCGTCGTCTCTTATTAGTCACCACATATGTAGTACGTAGAGCTCCTTATAGTGTAAAGTTGACATTTGAAAATACAAGTACAAGTAAAGCTAACCTTGCAAAGGCAATGTATCTACTAAACTCAGGGAATACATAATATATCCCTTTCAGATTATACGTATGCAGGCCTGCACTGATGAAAATATAAATAATAATCAAAGTAACTTATTTTCGCTGTTCACCTGTCTTTTTTATGGGTATCGTGACGCCACCCAACCCAGCCCTATATAGCTGCTTCCTTGAGGACGTAAACTTGCCGGATCGCCATCGTACCAGGCAAATGTTTTCCGCGTTCCTGTCCAGCCCGACCCGCGCTATTGGGTCCATAAAGTACACCAAGAGGGGGGGAAGAAACAAAAGAATAATAATCCAGGTGAAAAACACAATATCCCCGCAACGCCCTTCACCCAAGTTCTCCTCCGGCCGATCCATGGCTCCGTATAAAACGCATCTCCCCCTAGCCTTTGCCATAGTCCCCGCCGATGTCACGCCATTCGCTGTAAAGGAAGAAGACCTAGCTAGTATCATGATCCTCAAAGTTGCATTATCTTCGTTAAATCAGACGTCTCTCGAAGTGTACGTCGGGCGGGCGTTATCGTTCATGTAGTGTCCATCGAATACAGGCTTGTATCTAATTGGAACTCCTTATTCCAATCGATCTGAACGTCGTCCCAGGAAAACGCCTGGAATGAATTCTCGCCCGTGCCCGACAGCTCCATATCGCCAGAATCAATATCCACGTTGGGGCCACCTCCGAACGGGTTCCACATGTCGAGTCCCATATTCAGTTGGAGATTAAGGGACACGCCTTCTGAAACGTCGCTATTCGGTTCGGAAGATGCGCTATCCTTGCTCGACTCGGGTGTGTCATTCGGTGTTATTGCCCGATACACATCCATGTTCGAAATTGCACCTCCTCCACCACTCTCAAGGACGCCTAAATTCCGGAATAATTCCTGGGGGTCCACAGTCATCGTCGTCCAAGCATTATCTGTAGGGGGCGCCTGTGGCCTCCCGTCGTCAAGCTTACTAGATCCGGTAGTATTGTCTCCTGCTTTGGTCCCAGACTCAGGCTTCGGCGTGTTGATTCTTCCAGCGATCGTCTTAGCCAGGTCCGTAGCTTTAGAGCCCGCAGTGCTGCCCTGTCGTTTCATCGATGGTTCTCGAGACATTGGCGTGGCATCAGCTCTGCTTGTGGGCGTCAGACCTTGCTTCGAGACATCGTGCACCATAGAAGCCGAGATCTGCGAAGTACCCGGGGCGGTCATCGATGCGTTCGGCGGCGCTTTCAGCTTGCCGTTCGAATCTAACCCTAGCGCAGCCTCAAGGTTCTCTTTCACGAATTGGTAGGGGTCTTCATATGGCTTCATATGTTCCTCCTGGATATGATTTTGCCTGGCTTCGTCAGTAGCAAAGCCGATGCCGTGTGCTTCGCAGCTCGGCTCAGGACACTGGAACTGCAACTTTGGCGCTGTCGCCTTTACCTCTGTAGATGCTTGTCGTTTCACCATTTCGGGAGACGGCGCTTTTTGTACTTGGGGAGATGAATTGGCGCTTGGACCGCCTGAAGCAATACCAGATTGCGCTCCAGTCTTAACCTTCTTGCGAGCAGGTAAATGCAGGTCCGCCTGCGTTACAGTGGCCTTACCAATGTACGTTGGCTGGCCATTCGGCGACTGTGCTCCGAAGGGAAATGGAGGCTGCGCGGTTGTCGGTGCTGCGGGCGGTTGCCCACTCTTGCTACCAGTCCTCTGGTGCACCTTGTTAAGAGCCTGCGTTTGCTTCTCAAGATTGGCTGCGTTGAGCGGGGCAGGCTGACCGGTCGGCGGTGTAGCTGTGTTTTCATTGGTTCCCTGCTGAGGACCAGACTCTGAGGAAATCTGTTGCTGGTTGACGCCCCTCTTCATAATCTGGGGATACTGGGAGGCGACATCCCGAGCCATTCCCTCCAACATTGCTCTCACACCATCCAAGTCTTGCGGCCTTAGCGAAAATGCCTTTTTTAGAGTGGTCATCTTGTCGCCGTCTGCATATTGCTTAACTAGGCGGAGTCGCTAAATCAAGGTTAGTCATCCATATTACTAAGCTTATTTCTTAGATATCATATGAAAACATACCATCCTAAAGAACATCCTGGCCCGGTTATCATCCCTAGTTAGAGTGTACCATCGGCCTAATATCTTGCTGATCTTCGCCATCTCTCCCACCATGGACTGTATCTTCTGGGCCATATCTTGATACTGCTCGGTAGTCATCGGGATTTCATGGTATGACTCCTTGGCCGCATTAATATGCTCCTCATGGCCAATGGTTTTGAGACGCTGCATCTCCTCAGACATAGGAGGTTGTTGTGCGACGGCGACGGCGCCAGCAGCTCCACCTGCTGCTGCTGCTGCTTGTCTGCTCTTGATCATAGCCTCGATTTTGGCTCTCTGTTCAGGCGAGAGAGAAGCTAACTGCGCAGCGTTTAGTTGGGGTATCGGAGGAACATTTCCGGATGCCTTGGCCTGTTGAGAAGGCGGTCGCTGAACAGGTGTACTCGAAGGATTGGGCACCTCCACCACATCGTCGGTGCTTGCACGCTTCAGGCCCGTTTTCTGAGGTGGCGCTGTAGGCTGATTCGGCTGTGGCCGGTTGCTCTGGGGTTGTCTATTATTTCGCGGAGGCGCTACAGAACCTGTCGGATTGGGGTCGAGTCCTGCATTCTGGTGTCGTTGTAGAACGTTGGGAGCAGCGACTGGCGGCGCCGAGGTAGCTATGTTTGCGTTACCTGGCTGGGTGCTATGCGGGGTCTGCATTTGGACATTCGGTGCCTGGCTATTTGCTTTTGACCTGAGAGAATGCAGCTTCATCTGTGTTAAAGCTGCACGGAGCTTATCATCTGGGAGCCCTTTGAACCTTTCGTGATTCCTGGCACTCTGCATTTCCTGCGGGGTGATAGTAATACCGGCAAAGGAGCCTATGTTAGCAGCAGGGTTTGCGGCCATTGGCATCTGTACATTGGGGGGCTGTGGCCCCTGAAGAGGTACATTATGCTGAGGCAGGTTGCCTGCTGCGGCCCTCTGCTTCAATATAGTTTGAAATTGGGTATTCTGGATACCTTGAAGCTGCTGCATCATATTTTGAGTTACGTTCTTCTGGATCAAATATTGCTTGAGCTGAGCCCATTTCTTAACTTCCTGCGGAACTGGCTGGTTTGCTCGTATCTGCTCCAGTATTCTTTGCGGAACATCCATCGAATCCATGAACGCATTGGTGTCCGGGGATCCTTGAGGCCGGTTTTGGTTATGCATAGTATTACGCATTCTGTTCAACTGGTGCTGAAGAAGCATCTGATTCTGAGCGGCCATAGGCATGTTTGGGTTGGGCTGTTGGCCTGCGTTATTCACCGGGCCAAATTGAGCCATTGGGTTGTTCTGCACAAACTGGCTGGGCTGAGGAGGCTGACCACGTCCGGCCATCTGGCCGGCTCTGGAAGCGTTCGACCATTTCATCAGTACCTCGTTCTTCTTCTCCGCTGGCATAGACATGAATATCTGGCGCTGTTCGGCAGACATATGGTTGATAATATTGTTGATAATCTGGGTACTATTGTTTGGGTTTCTCCCCATTGGCGGCTGCTGATTACCCTGGTTAAACCGTGGGTCCATTCCCTGTCCAAAAGGACCGCTTGGCTGACCCATCTGGGGTTGTCCCTCGCCTTGGCCCATACCCATAGGAGTCCGGCGAACTGGAGTGTTCAGGGTGTTCATGCCAGGACTCTGAGAGATAGGACCAGGACCATTTAATCCGCCAGGCTGACCCTGCATCTGTTTGGCCTGGGCTTGCGCTCTGATCTGTGCTTGCGACTGCGCTGCCCTCTGGTCCATCTTCAGTTGCTGAGCTTGCGGCAGATTGAATTGCTGCTGCAGCTGGTTAGGGATGCCGGGCTGGTTGGGACCCGGATGGTTACCAGGATTAGGACCCTGAACACCGCCCATCGGTTGAGGGGTGGCATTTCGGCCAGGTCCATTACTCGCTGGCACCACCATCTGGCCTGCTTCCTGGGCAAGCAATCCTGCCTTCTGTTGGTTCATTATACTCTCCACGTTAGAGAAGGGGCCAAATTCGCCGTTAGTCACCCCGGCTAGCTGTTGCCTAGATTGGTTCATCTGTCGCTGCTGTGCCTGCATCTGCATTGCCTGGCTGCCGCCGGCGTTAGCACTCACTTGGCCCTTCCAAGCTTGTAAGATCTGATTCTGAAAAAAGAAAAGGACCGGGTCCATGTTCTCTTGTTGTAGTGATTGCAGTTGTTGTTGAGTCAGCTTCGATTGCAGCATCATCCGAAGTTGGCTTCGTTGTGGTTCTGCGGTCTGATTGAGTCTCGCTAGGGCTAATTGCGAAACTTTCGCCCTTTCCTGAGCGGATAAACTTGCCATGGCAGAGTGCCCCGGCATCTGCGCACGCATCTGCATTCCCTGCTGGTTTGGATTCATGGAAAGTCCTCCCGGGCCACCCATGCCCATACCAGGTTGATGGGGTTGCTGGGGAATCGGGGAGGGCTGCATTTGCTGCTGGAGATGTTGGAATCCTTGGGCTGGTTGACCCATCGCTCTCGGCATCATACCTTGGTTCATCATCATCTGTGCTTGAGCCTGAGCGGCAGCCTGGGCATTTAAGCTATGCTGAAGACTGTGTTCATGTGCTTGCCTCTGCTTAAAGAGCTCTTGTACACGACCGCCAATCTTCTGGTCATAAGTTACCTATGGAAAGTGTTAGTTTCTAACGGTTCATGATGATTAGGAGGAGGTTTAGGAGGAACATGAGACTCACTTTATCGGGCGAATGCAGAAAGGAATCTCTCTCGAAAGTAAGTCCAGACATTATGAGCTGCTGTGAATCAACAGCGGGCATAGCGAGAAATGAATTAGATATCCTGAAGAATGTGTCAGCACAACAGTTAATTTGTAATATCAACGAGTCGTCAGGATTACGAATTGCAAAGGGAAAAGAAATTGACACAGAAACAAATTAGACCAATAGGACATACAGGTTCATGGCGTTGCTCACGCGCAAGTTGGCTTGGACTTGATCTTGCCAGCCTCCATTATGGTTTGGCTGCTGCTGTTGCGCCATCATCTGCGTGTAGACAAGGTGCGACAGCTGCTGGTGGGGTGGCCGTGGCCGCACAGCGCCGCCACCGCCCATCTGTGGCATATTAGCGGCCATAGCCGCGGGAGAAAGTAAGTTCGGTCAAGTCGTAAACGGTAGTGGAACGCGAGATCGATGTATCCTAAGGAACTAGAAAGGTTGAGCTTATAGCAGATTATCCGAAGTAATCCTGCTTTAGTGTGCACTTAAGGTCCTATCGAGGTTACGATATTGCTTATGCAAGATCGTCAATGATTATTTTGTAGTTAGGCAAGAATCTGTCGTAAGGCAACCCACAGCCTAGATTGATCCAACTGTGTCCATCCAGCCTTGGCTACGTTAATCCTGCGCCAAAGTCGTAAAGGGTTCGAAAAGGTACACTATCATGTGCTGGTTCTGAATAGCACCGTCTAGATAGAGCTCGGATAACGGGATGCCTGGAAGCTAGCGCCCAATAGAAGAAAAAGGCAGTCCTATGATTTCAAAGACAGGTCGGCTCTTATATGCGATGGTAGAACTAGCAAGTCGCCTTCTTGTAGACCGGATATCGATCGAGAGTTGAATATAAATAGTGGTTGTTTGGGAGAGTGTCGCTCGATCGTGGTTGTCCCTATCCAGATCGCGCAATGCCCATGTGCAGATTCCGCGCACTCCAGTAGAGGATAGCGATGGTTCCTAAATAACTAGTGGGAAAATTGGGACTGGCGAAGGTGAGAGAGTTCGGTTGTAGATTTATGATTCGATCGATGATGACTCTACACCGGATGTCGTGGCCGAAATGAGGTGCAAGATGCGAGGGACGACTTTGAGGTCGAGTGTTAGTATTCGTAAACCACGTATATCGGGATTTAATGGCATAAATGCTGGGGCAATGGGTTTTCCGAATGAGCGAGCCAGCGTAAAAAAAAAACCTACTACGGCGAACAACGAGGCAGGTATAAAAATTCCGGAATCTATCTGCAGAATAGGGAAGACGGCAAACCGGGCGAAAAGAAGAAAATGTTGAAAATGAGGACAGAGATTAGGTCGTGGTAATGGTGGTAGAGGAGAAGAAAGGCGGCAATGGGAGAATGGGAATAAGTGTCAAGCAAGCAAAAAAGGTAGACGGTAGACGGTAGAACGGTAGAGAGGTAGGGTCCTTGGCTGGGACACTCAATCCAAACAAGGTTGCCGCGTGCAAGTAGTGAATGATCGATGACCAATAGTGGGAATTGAAATATTGGTAAAGGTGGGTCTCTTGGGGATCTCCCACTGACTAACAGCAACTAAGATGCATCAAGGTACCATATGCTGGTAGGTACCTGTCCGCTAGTGCGTGGTACTGTACAGTACTGTGCAAAGTGATTGGTTGGATGTGGCAGGGGTGTCCCTAGCCCCTCTAGCAGCGGATTTATACATAGTACTTTGATCTTTTAAGTACGTGGGTGTACCTGTCACGGTACCTACTATAGTACTTAGGTACTAGGCAGCGACAGCAAGGTCTGTCCTCATTTTCAGAACACCTCCAGCGCTGCCTTCTTCCCTTCGCACTGCAATACTACTAGGAAACAAGGTAACCAAAAATATAAAAACAATAAAAACAATTAAAAAACGGCCTAGCCAACATAGAGACGAAAGCGAAGAGAAGGTTGTTGACGCTCAGGTCCATGTTCGGCCAGGCAGTCAGGTAAAATAATAAGTACCTGGACAGATAGGTAACAAATTTTTGCGTGCTGCGCCCGGAATCGACTCGCAGGCAATTAAATATTGAGATGCAAAAGGGAAGTTGAAGAGGCGCGAAGGATGTACATAAGAGTCTTATAGGCTAAGTATGATAGGGCAAGAGGTGGACGAATGGGTTTGAAGGTACGTACATACATACATGTAGCAAAGCAGCGAAGGAAGCAGAGGAATATGAAACTTACCAAATATGATGAATGGTGTCTCGCGTAGAATTCTTCAACGGGTTATCAGACGACGGAAAGTATATTGAGATACGGAAGTTGAGGAGGATTGTGGAATATGGGAAATTTGCAACTGGCGTGGCAGTACGAAATATTCGGAATGGCGGTTACAAAGTGGTTAAGGCTTGGGCGGTCTTGGCCTTGGCAAACGAAAAAGAAACTGTAAGGGACTTAATACGTTGCGAAAGTGTAAGAAGAGGAAATTTTGTAGCATGGAAAAATTAGACTAAAAAAATTCAGAGTGAAAAATCGACGTTATAAAATAAAATGAAGGCCAAAGCTTGTCTATATAGAGTACTTACCAACTTAAGAATTCTAAATACCTAAAGTACCAGTAATGGATGTATATAAAGTTCTCAGGTACCAGGGCTAGAGTGAAGCGGTCACCGAAATAATGAATAAGAAAAGACGTGACTTTTTTGGGGGTTGGAAGTTGGCTCCATTCAATTGTGTTGCTGCTTCTCGAAATCGTCAATTGGGTCCAAAGATCCATTTCAATCTGGCAGTTTGACTTCCCATGTTATGTTTGCGCAGGTACCTACATGTACCTAATTAGCAGGTAAGTACTTAGATACATGAGTTATGTACTATGTACTTAATTACATAGTGCACGGTTAGTCAGGACCTTGCTTGAATCAAGCTTGAAGTCACTTAAATTCTACTAGCACTTCTTTCAAAGTCAAGCAAAAAAAAAATATCGATTAAAACGAACGAGTACTACTAACATACCTACCTCCTCCGTAATGTCATAAGCTTTCATGAATCTCACCCTTTTATTTATATAAAAAAAGGCAATGCGAACGTATATTTAACTAATTCATTAAAACATGTCTTCTTTACTTAATATATAAAGAATCGGTAGGAAGTTAAGGAAATCAAGAAAGGAAGAAAAAGAGTACTTCATTAATCTAACGAAATGAGGCGGGTTCATCGGACAGGGGGTATAATGCAGCATTTTGACTTCAAAAAAGAGGCACCTGCAACTCGATTTTACCAGGTAGGTCAAAACTCCAAGTTAAGTACTCGTTGTCATTGCTACTATGCTGCTTATAGGGGTTTCTGCTTATACACGCACATCACGTATTATGCAATATATATCTCTCTAAATACATATGTAGTTGGATTCTATTAACCCGTGAGATTCTAAAACCCCTTTAAAAATGCTTCACCGTTGTATTTGGATGTACAGATGTGAGTAGCTTCCATCTTCATTCGGCTGTCGAATACCTGTGCATGCAAAAGTAGGTATGACGAATATACACTAACCTTGTAATGATAAAATTTTCGGCGGTAGCATGACCTTGTATTATGTCACGCCGGCACTCAGGAAGGTCCTTTCCAATTCACCGTGTGCTTGCTTACCTAAAGTTGTGCCATCGTTTATTTATTTATAATAAATACCTACCTTCCTAAGTTCGCGATGGTCTCGAGTGCCTTTCACAAGACAGCCTAGTACTTGACAGCAACGACTCATACCATTCAATGGGAAGTAAGACAAGTACACATATATAGCTAGAATCATATATGTAAAGCGAAGCATGTCCATATACGTACGATACAGTCATAGATATTACTAGGTACGTCATAAGCACGGCGCAACTATAAAAGGTACCACGCATGCAGTACCTATGAGTCGAGTCAGCCTTATACCAACTTGGAAGGTTAGCTCAGCTCGGTCAGTTCCAGCGTCACCCAGTCCTAATACTAAACTTCAAGCCCATTTGCATAGTATCTATTAGAAATCCCAGAAATTTCCCATTCATAGATATTTTAGAAATTCATTACTATACACTAGCTATATTACTTATTTCGTATAACTAACGTGATAACTCTTGATTCGCGGAGCTGAGTAAGTTTAATAATCCCGTACCGATCCTAAAAATATGGGGGAAGCATGGAATGAAACCGAATTAATACTTTGTATTTTCCGGGACGGAACATAAAAGACGGGACAGGAGACTACATCCCGGCGAAGTTACCTGGATATTCCCATTCTTGCATTGGTTTGTATTCCATTTAAGGTTGATAGATTGATAAGTTGATAGGTTGTTAAACGTGCGGGTTCGGGAAGAAGCATAAACTTCGACGAATTGAAAATGCATTCTGTTATACTCTCCTCTGATTTAGAAGTTGTCAGAATATGCCATCCAGTTTTTCACATTTCACACCTAGGTAGGTTTCGAACTTTATCAAATTCAAGATTCGGCATCATTTGGCTGCTTGTACTGAAGAAATTAGTCATGTCTATAACAACGAAATGCCCACATAAGCCTACCTAGACATTAAAGCAGAGATCATCAACCCCGCCACTTGCATCCATCAAAGTGAGAACTGCCCAATTGTCTTTAAAACAATCAAAAAGCATACATGGATACGAATGCTTAATTATAGCGTGCTAGGTAACATCATAGGCATAAGGTCAGCTTCCAGGCTATTTTTTATTCTAATCGGTAAGTAAGTGTTGATAGTTTTGTTAGTAAATGAATGGTAAATACTTTAATCATTCGATAGGTACGACCTCAGGTATTCTACAGGTACAATGTTTGATAGGGACCAGTCTTTGAGACCCGCAATCTTCGAGACAAGTACGGATATATAAATACATTGACCTAGCAGCCTAGGCAGCTAGGCTATTTGAATTCGTATTTATAAATACTAGTATGCACTTAGTTTGGTACCTACCTAATACATGCATACATACCTGTAAGTTAAGATAGCTTAAAAATTATCCCAACTGGAATGATATAGATATGCCTGCTTAAGACAGGTTCCTGCTCGCACAACGGGGCGCTTGTGTGATCGACGGCCTCCCCCACATGTTGGCTGGATGGCAGGCTGGACTACTGTATCGCCGAAACGCCATCAACGTCTGGACACTGGATTAGGTAGCTTCTGTTACGGATCTAGACAATAGCAAACCAATACAAACCATAGAGAGACGAACCAATGAGGTTTGTGCCATGCACTATACGCACCATTGATATTTCATAAACAGCAAGAGCAATTGGGTGTTTTTCCAACTAGGTGCCAGTCTAGGCGGATGGGCAGTGACACGCGTTTCAAGCATTAAAGCATCAAGTACGACCAATTCCTCTCAATTGTCATGGCTGCGACCGCGAGTCTGCGTCTACTAGGTACTAGGTATTAGTAGCAATCTGTTAGTATAAGTACCTGGTACCCTATCTGTTTATGTACTATTACTAGGTATAATAGGTAGATGTACCAGGTAGTCGACGCCCCTTGCCTCAAAGAGACCCCTGATTTTCCAGGATATGCCAGACAGTTTGGTTCGATGTTATGATTGGCCGCCTTTTATAAGAACTGGGAGAACGAACAAGGCGTATCAGCAAGTACCGAAATTGTGTGCAAAGTACCGCTATATGTACATTACATAGTACGTACACCATTTAGTCTACCGAACGAATTCATACTGTACGAGGTATGCGCATGGTCGCGTACGAATCACATTGCGTCTGCCCACGCAGCCACGCAGCTCACACTGTCCATAATATGTATGTCCTCTTACACAAACCTGGATAAGCTATCAAGGATTAATATCAAGCATCACGATAACCGGTAATGGCAGCAAAATCTCTAATAGATATTTCTTCAACGCTTTGCTACGTATAAAACAAGAGGGGTTAAAAATAACATTCGCAATGTGGACTTCCAAGTTGACTACTGGGTAGGAATCATGATAGAAGCACGAAAAGGGTGGGCGGATCGCCATAGTAAGACGCTTCGACACCTGGTCAAATTTTAGAAAGGAGCCAAAAAACTTGGAAGATACCTATCTCCCGGGTCCCTCCGCAAGAACACTTCATACCTACATACCTACATACCTGTATAGTCGGACGACGGACGATGGACGATGGACGACGACCCCGCGGTCAAACAGGCCTTACAGGGCTATGTGCGACAGATATATACATACTAGGTACCTACATCTAGAAAAAAAATTAAAGGGACATGGCCGTGTGGTCGACCGTGATCTCGGAAGAAAGGCGTGGTAAAAGCGTGGATGAGCAAACAATTCGAGTACATATCTCCAAGATATGGATGAAAAGATCACCCTTGAGATCTTTTTAAGTTCCAGCATCAGTAGTAGTAGTAGTAGTAGGAGCAGCAGCAGCAGAGGCTATAAGACTAGGAGTCCCTTGCCCTGACAGCCCTAGAGCGGGTTATCTTATTTTAGTCTTTAGAATTCTGACTCCGCAAGGCACCCTTTTTCCCTTTTTTTCTTTCCCCCCGTTCTTTTCCTTCTTTCGCTTACTGGGTCCAATGGAAAAGTCGACAGCAAATAGCCCTTCCTCCAAGGTTGTTAAGGCCTTCACAAGTTTTCACCTTTACCCTATAACCATCCGGTGCCTGGATGATGTTCTACTGCTGCGCTACTTTTACATACACATTACATGACACCAATATCTTCCAAGACAACCTTATCTTGACGCAGAGAGATAGTACACCATTTCCAGGTTTTCTCTATCGGTGGTGGATGAGACTTCAGGTGCGGTGTGCCTGCCCTGGCCTATCGTGCTCAGCCTATCGTGTCTATCCTTGATGACAATTCGGACGCCACCTCACCCTGCAGAAATGCGGGCGGTGGGTGTGGCGAGCGCCCGATCCATCCCAATACGTCGGATTGCATTTGCCCAGTTCAGTTTGTCAACTAGTTTTAGTTGGCGGCCTTATTTATTTGCCATTGTTTGTAGTACACAATAATACATCACAACCTTCCTAGACAGCTGGAAAAGGAAAGGGAAATATCTATCATCTTCTCCTCTTCTCCCATTCTAGCATGATTACCTACTATGTTGGTACCATATGCGACACATACGCAAGGCACAAAATGCACGCCATGACTATTACTACGTGTGCGTCCACTTCTTGTAGGTGTTAGGTCCTGTTCCAGGTGCCGGGGATGGGGACCGGTTGAGGTTGAGGTTGAGAGATGCCCAACGTACGTGATAGTCTGATCAACTTGCCACTTCGATCGTTTCGATGCTGAGTTTATGTATGAACGTAGATACGTGAGGTATCAAATGCATACCAAGTACACACCGTAGGTAGGTCTTGAGTTACAGAGTTGTAACGGCAAAACTCGTCTGTTTAAATGTTATTGACGATTATAAAATGATGATACGATGTTGCGATATGGATGTGGGTAAGGTTGAATTACACTCGAGTTATTGTAATAAAAGTAGGTAGGTACGGAGTATTAATTCAAGGTTACATACCTACATACTAATAGGTACCTAACTAAATGAACACATCCATTGATCATCATGGATGTCCGTACAGTAGCTTGAACATTTGCAAGGTTGAACGATCTTTACTACACCGTTACACTACCTGTGACACAGTTACGGCGGATAAGATAAGCTAAATTCGGTAGGTGGGATGGTGGAGATCCATAACTAGGTAAGTACATAGGTACCTAGGTAGTGTGTAGATGCTCCGGTAGATCAGGAAGGCCAACATAAGCTAGAACTAAATTAGAATAACCTTGGAAGTCTGTCGGGTGGAACAAATAGAAGTTTACTACTAATCAATTAGGCATGTTCCACTTTTCCCTGGTATGATAATTAGTCATCCGCCGTAGATGGGTACATAGCTACTAGGTAGGTAGACACCATCGAACCTCGGGTCTTCAACTCTCTTCTACGTTCAAATGTTCGAGCTGTCCATACTGCGCTTGTTGTTTTTTCTCGCCCCGTCCCGACTAAGTGGCTATCCGAAAAGCTAACGGACTTATTCCATCCCTCTAATATAGGTGTCCATGGTGTAGATGACTGCCAAGGTCACCTTACATCTACTCCTCAGTTCGATATCTCCCCGCAATATTCGATCTTCCATCTCACCTCGGGTCGCTTTGCCCTCGATCAAGCATTGGTTCGGCTCTCTTTCTTGCAAAATGGCGCCCCCTAAATCTGCTCTAGACTTTCTGGACTTCGTCAATGCCTCCCCCACACGTATGGCTCCTAAGACGTAAACTCCCCGGTCTCTCTCGACTAACAAATCATGTCTCCAGCTTACCATGCGGTTCAATCATCCATAGAACAGCTGGAGAACGCAGGTTTCTCCCTTATTAAAGAGAGGGATAACTGGTCCTCGACTCTCCGACCCGGCGGTAAATACTACATGACCCGAAATGGCTCTACCATCGTAGCGTTTGCAATTGGTGCCAAGTGGAAACCCGGGAATCCTATAGCGATGCTTGGTGCCCATACGGATTCGCCCTGTCTACGTATCAAGCCGGTGAGCAAGAAGAGCGGAGTCGGGTATATGCAGGTTGGCGTCGAGACTTACGGAGGTGGTATATGGCATTCTTGGTTCGACAGGGACTTGAGCATCGCCGGCCGTGTATTAGTCAAGGACGGAAAAGGGAACTTCGCACAAAAACTAGTCAAGGTCGATCGTCCCATTATTCGCATCCCCACCCTTGCTATTCATCTCGATCGTTCGTCCGTATTCGATCCCAACAAGGAAACTGAACTGTTCCCGATTGTCGGCCTGGTGGCTGCCGAGCTGAATAGGACAGGTCAGGGTGAAACACTTAAGACATCCGACTCAGAGGAGGGACTTGACGGAACCTTCCAGCCGCTCAAAGAGATCACCGAGCGCCACCACCCGTATATTATCGAGCTAATCGCTGAACACGCGGGGGTAAAGGTTTCGGATGTGGTCGATTTTGAGATGGTGCTCTACGATGTGCAAAAGTCGTGCCTCGGCGGCTTGAACGAGGAGTTTATTTATTCGGCTAGACTTGATAACTTAAACATGACTTATTGCAGTGTGATGGGACTCATAGAGTCTATTTCGCATGTCAGTCTCGACAATGAGACAAGTATTCGTTTAATCACATGCTTCGACCACGAAGAAATTGGTTCGACGTCGGCCCAAGGCGCCAACTCTGATCTTCTGCCCGCCGTCGTTCGCCGCCTGTCTATCCTTGCGGGTGGTCGACATGGTGATTCGGCATCCGACAAGTCTTGGGAACATGTTAGCTCGGACCCTGACATCGATCTGTCTACCGCCTTCGAGCAGACGATGGCGGCATCCTTCCTCGTCTCGGCCGACATGGCTCACTCGGTTCATCCCAATTATGTGGGGAAATACGAGTCCAATCACCAGCCTGAGATGAATAAGGGTAAGCTTACCATCCTTTCGGAAATTCCCATGTTCACTGAATTTCAACTCTAACTTAACTATTCTGAAGGCACCGTCATTAAGATCAATGCCAACCAGCGCTACGCCTCCAACTCTCCCGGAATCGTCCTGTTGCAGGAGGTGGCAAAGCAAGCGGGAGTTCCCTTGCAGCTTTTTGTGGTTAGGAATGATTCGTCCTGCGGCAGCACGATCGGACCTATGCTTTCTGCGAAGCTGGGCGTGCGTACTTTGGATTTGGGGAATCCTCAACTGAGTATGCATAGTATCCGCGAGACGGGAGGCACTTACGACGTCGACCACGCGATCAAGCTATTCGGTGCATATCTGTCACACTACTCGGATCTCGAATCAAGGATTTTGGTTGATTAAGCTAGGTAGGTACCGGTAGGTATTTACGACACAGCCTATGAAACTCTACTTAGAATATATATTACTAGTAGAGGATATGATTTGAGGTCTATCCTAGAGCCTCATTAATCATATATACCTGGTACCCTACTCTATAGACTAAGTGAGCACTGTAAATCCATAGCATTCAATGGATTTGAATACATTATGAAAATATCCTAAATTGAACGGTGGGTACTATAATCACTGCTGATTATATACCTACTAGGTACCTACCTATAGTGTTTAGATAGGTGGCTATTTGGACCTCGAAACGGGATACATCTTTATATTTCACCTATGCATAAATCAAGAAGGCAATTTCGGGATAGGACAAGCTGAGTCTTGCCTCACTTTTTTTTTTTTTTTTATTCACTTGCCGATGACATCTTGCCATGGCTTTACACCAATTCTTACGTTCATCTACGGGCAATAGGTACCTAGTCAACGAAATCGTGGTTGGTATTGTTGAACCGAACTCCCGTGTATGCAATTACAGCAGATTACCGTCGCAGTGCCATATCTTCGCCACCATTTCCTTCTACCCTTTATGTCGTTTATCTCGAACTATTTAATAGACCTTGCAGGTATTTAGAAAACGACTTCTTGTCCGTGGCCGTTGTCATGGCCCGTAGAAAATCGTTTCCATCGGTGCCGAGGCCGGGGAAGAGGGTGGACTGAAGGTGCTGTAAAAACTTTTCTCCAGTCTTGAGGTATATGGCCTGCTCTAGCCCAGCGATCTCGTGGAGGACTTGCCTAGCCTGGGCGTCCAAAGACGGGTTAAATTGAGGGTCGCGTAGGACATCCCAGCAAACGGAATGAAATCTATCAATAAGGAATTGGTCGAAACCGGGAATGACTGGCGAAGGGGATCCGGAAGGGGCCGATGGAGTTGCCGATATGTTGGCGACATCCGGTCCGCCCCAGACGGCGGCCATCTTCGCAAGCAACCCGAACGATAGGCGACTAGCCGGAAGATTTCCCGAGCTGGGTCCGATATCCGTAGCTAATGTGAGGATGGAGTTGATGAGTGATTCGAAGAAACCCTGGTTTGCTTCCGACACGAGCACTCCCGCGAGATCGTTATTTAGAATGACAACGACGAATGTTAAATATTCACGACGGAGCTCGGCAAGTTGAATCTCGTCGTCAGTTCCGTTGATTGGTTCCGAAAGTCCGCCGAAGACTCTTTGCAGTAAAGGTGTTAGTAATTGGTTGAGGACCTCGTAGATTTCCGCCTTGAAGCCGTATACGACCTGGTCGAGTAGGCGGAGGAACATGGCCATTTCGTCCTTTGACGAGCTTCTAGACAAGAGCCCGTCAATCCACTGAGGTAGCTGTGGGAGAACAGCAGACCCCAACACGCCAAGCAGGCGCGAGAAAGCTGACCTACAGGCGGTGCGAATTTCTGACGAGTTATTAAGTTCGCTAAGCGCGATTAAGATAGCTTCAGCGGCCCGCGCAAACTCGTCGGACAGCGCCTTTGCCGGAGGTGGCCGCTGATTTGCGGAGTTCGCTCCAGGTGTCCAGTCTGAAAATCCGTGTGCTAACGTACCCAAAGCCATGATGATGTGATGGATCTGAAGTATAGCTTGAGCATCACCAGCCCTGGCCCTAGGGAGATGCCGTTCCATGTCGGCAAATAAAGGATCCATGACAGAGCGAGCATATAGAGCTTGCTTTTCGATGGGGGTTGCAGCCGTGGATGAAATACATCCAATGGCCTCGAATAGGTAAAGCTGGCTGGCGAAAACGGCATCTGCCGAATTATCCGTTTGATCGGAGGACATATCGTCGTCAGCGTCTTCACCTGGCACTTCCGCGTGGATAGGAAGAAGATCCCCGATCGACTGGATGACGGTCTCGGCTACATTGCCTACTTGTGCCCTAAGATGCTTTACGAAGCGGTGGAAGAGGTACCACGAGCGCGTCCGGATCCTAACGTGTTCATGATGGACAAGGCGTACAAAATTCTCGAGAACTTGGCCTATCAGGGCACTTTGGCTCTCAAAAAAGGCACAGTAACGGACGCAGATCTCCATGTAGTGCAACAGAATCGCCGGGTGCGGGAAATTTGCGATCCCTAGATATATTTCTCGTCAGTAAAATAGCTCTACCAGGTATCGAGGATTTGAACATACCGGATTGGACCATCTTGGTCATCATCGCCACAAGCCTCTCCGATGCAACAGGTGAGGCCTGGTTCTTGGCTCCTAGTCCCTGATTGGGCATCGCAAGCTCGCCAAACAGAAACATCTCATGTAGAGCCAAGTCAACGTCTCTCCAATCCATCTGGGAACCTTGCTCGTCTAAGGTCTGGAAAGTATTCGCAACGAGGTTGGACAGAACTTCGACGTAGAGATTCTGGTCTACAACAGCTACGGTCTTCTGGAGTACCTGAAGTCTCTTTCTCAGCTCTTGGAACTCAGCCTCGTCAGTCTGCTCGTCCTCGCTTCCCCAGGACGACGTCTCGTCGTACCGCATCTTCATGATAATGGCGTTCAAGATTGGAGGCAGTGTCTCGGAAAAGGACGCGGGAAGCTCAGAGAGCTTGCGGAAATAGGCTAAGACGTCAGTTAAGGAGGGAATAACGGTGGAACAGATCTCGTCATATTCGTCGGAGAAAAATCGTAGCAGGAGAGGTATGAAATCGTGAAGGAGCTGGTTCGATTTAGCTCTAGTGGCATCATCAGTTGAACGATCTTCTAAAACCCGGACGATATCGGCCATAACTGTATTGACTAATTTGGCGACAGCTTCGGCTAGATCGGTGTCGTATTGGGGGGTTCCTTTGAATTCATTCAGAGGAGGACTGGCGATAAGTTGGGATATGATGTTCTGTAGGCCGAGGAACGAAATCATTCCCGTCTTGTCAGCCGGACGCATCTTCTTGCCGACGATTTCGGTGAAGGCCTCAACGGCGGCATCCCGGACTTTGTCCTCACCGCCAGACTTGTTGGTACGGCCGACTAGCGGGAGGATCAAGCTCAACATACCATCGTTGATGATAAGAGATATGTCGATCCAGCCAACCCATTTACCGATAACCTTGAGGGTCATCTCAACTATGCCGTCGTTTTGATTGCCGTACTGGGCAAGGAGATCCTGCCACGACTGGGCTACCTTCCCGACGTCGCGTGCCCGCATCAGATCTTTCAGCTCCGTATGGCTCCGGGCCTGATTGTCCTGGCGCACAACCAGGACATCGGCAACTTCATCGTGAATGGAGCCGAGGATGCGCAGGTAGAGAATAACGCCTGCGACATTGTCGCGCTGACCACTCCCTGGGAGAATAGTTAGAGCCAAGAAATCGTCGATGAATGTCTCCCAAGCCTGTTTATATAGAGAGACGAAGAGTAGGGTGAGAGTTTGAGTGAGTTTGTTCTGTAAGCTAGAAGAGTCTATCTGGGAAGGCTGGCTGGCGCCATAGGTAGATCGCACGTATTCCAGGAGGGCATCTCTAAGCCCGACCAAGCTCCCAGTATCGAGCGATTGTACGTGGATGGCGTTGTTGACTATCTCGAGGCTGACAAGTCGGACGACCTCAGAGGACCTCGGCGTTCTAGTGAAGAGGCTGACACAAACTTGCCATGCTTGTGGATCGGTGCGCAACTGGTGTAGGTAATCAAAGGCTTGGCTTTTCAGGGCTTGGTCGGAGGTAGGATTCCATGCAATCTCGATGGCATTCTCGATCTATAGAGTAGATGAAAGAGGAGAGATTAGTACAAGTAGAAAGAATAAAAGAAAGAAAGAAAGAAAGGACGGAAATCGATATTTGGATGCTAGGTTACATACCTGAGATTCCATCTTGTTAAGATGCTGGACCCAAACCCTTCAACTGTGCCCAAGCTATATCAAGTACCAACTATGACAAACGACGACGATGGTGATGGGGTGAATGCAGATTCATGCAGCATGCTACTTGACCATGGTCGAGATGAATGAGGTTACAAATGACGGTTGACTTTCAAACTATGTTCGGCTCTGAAAGGTATGGCTTGAAGGTATGGGGAATGGTACAGTTCGAGGACAAATGGCGGTGATCGTGCGCGATATGGGAATGAGGTTGATAAGTTGATAGGTTGATAGATTGATAGGTTGATAAAGTCGATAATAGGGAACCGATTTGATTTTTTTCTAAGGTTCAAAATAGGTATAAATTCAGTCATAAAAAAAAGACGGCATTCATTGTGCCTGCCCGCATCCCACCTGTGCTCATCTCCCCACCTACTCGATTTAGCGTTAAATCATTATGTTCTACACGTTAACTTTAATTCGAATTTAGGCAGGCGGTGAACTTGGTCATTTGCAAAATTCGAAGCAACTCCCCTACCGTGACACTAAAATACAAACCGTCTAAATACATTTATTCCGACTACTAAGTATAAGCATATAATAACCTTAGTAGAACTTTACGTAACCTAAAAACGGTTCCAAAAACCTGGAACCGTTCCACTATAGGAATGCCCCCAGAACCATCGCTGATCCGGAACCGTTCCAGATTACGATCAAGCATTTCAAAAATTATATTAATTTATTTCTTTAATTTATGCATTTATACTTATTTATTTATTTATTTATTTATTTATATATATATTTTTATGTATTTATTAATATTTTTCTTTTTATTTAATATATTTTATTTAATTACATATTTATTTTTAAAAATTTAGTATTAAAGATTTACGGTTTTTTTTTACGATTTGAACTACAAGGATTACATACATGTCACGTTACGAGGTTTTACAGTTTTACCATTACACCACTTTTACATATGCAAGGAATCTTTATAATGTTACTCAGCTATATAAAGGTTTTAGCTTTAATTGGCTGGATAGAAAATCTCCCCGCATATATGTCACATGATATTGTGACTGTTACGCAAATAAGCTTTTGGAGCGCTGTTGGAACGCTATTAGAACGCTGGAATGCCTGGAACACTTGACAAAATCTTGGAATTGATTGGCTCGTAACGTGGGGTAACGTAATCACTGTAATATTTATGGAACCGTTCCACTGCTGTTACGGAACTGTTTGCAAGTTACATAGAATTCTACTAAGGAAGCATATGATAAGCGAAAAGAACATTAAAAGCATCAGCTAATCTAAATTTAATACCTACTAGGTATCTGCCTACGTACATATATGTAGTATATCTAAACATACTATCAGGACATGTGTGATTGATACGTTCTAGGCAAAATCACAAATTCACATTGTTAATATTCTAAGTTTCCCGACTTTATAAATACCTAACTATCACCTCCACGTGTCCACGTTCGAATCAATGAGACTTGTCAGAGCCGTTCAACCGCATGCAGCTTTACATTAATACGGCACACCGCTAGACCAAGCCTTCACTGAAAATCAACCCCGTGAGAACATGGGAACAAATCGAGTCAGCTCATCCTCGCATCTTCAAAACGGCACTCCCCAAAAATTACTAAAAAAACCCTCAATAATTATGAGTCTTCGAAGGACATAGATGGGATGAGATTAGAATCCAGAACCCATTGTCCCGATCGTTCAAAGTATGCGGCATAGCTACTCCAGATAAGAAGATCCATGAAAATGGAAGCCTCCGAGTCCCTGTACAACACAGGGTACAACACATCATCTTGCTTGACACAGGTACGAGATATCCTCCAGGGCCGGTAAATATCTCTCAAGTTACCGCTTGGCTTCCAGGTGGTGTAACCCATTCATTCCCATCATGTGTTACCTTGGCTTGACATACTATATTATGTATGTTGGAATTTGTTCTCAGGTCCACGGGTATTCTGGCATATCAATTGATCATCGTCCAATTCGAAACGGGGAAGTCGTCAACGGACATCGAGCATAAATTACTGATGGTTATATGTTTTTGGCTTGATCGACCATGACACATCCACATTGTATTGGAAGATATAGCGACATCGGCCATCAGTTTTTGATTCATATACGCCGTCCGTTATTATGTCGGAAGGATTCAATACATCGTGAAGCTGCTTCGAACTCCTGGCTACTTTGGCATTTAGATACGTAGATTTCGACTCTCGAAGAAAACTCGTGGGTCGGCTAAGTTGCGGGGACTTGTACTGAACTCGAGACGATAGCTATGAAGCGTTCATTAGTACCGGCAGACAAATTATTCAAACCCATTCCCGTGTTTCTTAAGTGTCCAAGAGGTTCGCGATAAGGACGATGGAGATCTAAAAGGCTAGGAACACATTAAAACCGATGTAATATTGTCGTCCTCAGCCTGCAGGTTCCAGGGTTTCTTTCTGGTCGGATGAGCGACATAACATCATCACTTTTCATCAATCCGACTTTAGGATGCCGCAGTACCAATACTTGGGAGAAAAGCCCATCGTGGTTTGCATATGCTCTGCTCAACCATAGATCTTGTTTCGCTTGGACGTCGGATTTATAATGCCAGAAGATTCCTAGCACCTCGAAATTCGCTCAAGTTTCCCAAGGTTGTGATCGCTCTGGATAGTCTCGTCCACTGATCGTATCATTAGGCGATCGTCGACAGATTAGGTTCTCACCTAATTAATCGCATCTGGAGACTAATGAATTCGTCAAGGCTTCGAGGGAACCGGTATCGATTATGTCGCCATAGAACCAAGCTTGGCAAAGGTATTCTAAGAGACGGGGGAACCGCCATGACATAAATGAAAGAATAGTAACCCATGAAGGATATTGAACAACGGAACGGTCGGACTATCCGGTAGGGAAAAGGGACAATAAGACCGAGATTTGGCCAAGTTTAATTAAGTAGATCACGTCCTCCTTTTACTCCATGATCCATGATCCACAGGCGCCTAAGAAAAGTAAGCTCTTCCCAAGAACTGGGGACGATCCCGAGCTCATCTAAGCGAGCACCTAGGTACCTACATAGGTAGCCACTTAAAGGTCTGAGCGCTTTGGGGGTGTCTGGCAGTCCGGCAATCTACTATCATGTAGCAGAGCACATGTCAAAGAGAGACACGCAGGACGCGGCGTCGTTCTAATTAAAAGCCAAGCACGTTTCGCCTAGCAAAGATTTAGCTGGCGCCAACCGAAGAATTAGGTACAACGGATGCAGATCGAGAAACATGACGACACCTTACATACATACACAGACCTTGCAGCCTCGGTGGATTTATATGGTCGTCAGTGGTGAGACACCATCGATATCCACATCGGTACTGAACTCGCTCTCTCTCTCTCGCTCTCTCTCTCTCTCTCTCTCTCGCTCTCTCTCTCTCTCTCTCTCTCCCCCTCTTCACCCGAAACGAGTTAGACTCTACTTGAAAATATTCTTTATTCTTCCAAGGCTTGCTTTAAGATGCTTGAGTCTTGAGTAACAGTACAGTAATTGTTCTATACTAATACATACATACATACCTACCTGCCTACCTACTTATGTAGTGTACATACATAATAATAATACTACTACCAAGACTGTAAGAGTATTATTATTGGAATCTTGCAGGAGGAAGACTGATGAACGGGAAGGTAATCAATCTACGGTCTTGGCGAAGCACTTGACCCGATTTCTATCTCGGTTGGTTCTGTTCGGTAGGTAAAAAAGTAGTGGGCTTCCTTGGACCCTCTTGGACCCTCTCTGCCTCTCTGCCTCTCTGCCTCTTAGCCCCCCAGTGGTTAATCCCATGAATCCACATGGGTAGGATCGTCAGGGAGAAATTATCGAGGACTATCTTTTACCAACTGCGCCATCCCCTCTCAGCCAGCCAGCTTCGACAGTTGCCTAAACAAGTCAGTCACACCATTATTACTTCTAATTATTGCTTTGCAGCTTTTGTAAATGAGTCGTTGGATGAATGCCCAATGAAAGATGTCAGTATTAACTGGACGACCTAATGAGAAGGCGGGCGTCTAGCCTAGTCTTCTCAGCGCCTGCTTCTTCTAATAATCCTCATTACTCTTACTCCGTCTGGTCTGTCTATATTATAAGAGATGTGATTTGTTCAACTTAGACATACCTACCTGTAGTACCTAAATCCTACCATGTAGGTATGCCGGGGAGGGTGAAGATTGTGTTCCTGCATTAGTGGACACCTGCAGACTCAGATTTACCGCCCAGCCGCCACCGATGGAGAGAGGCTTAAGCAGTTAAGGTAGGAAGGGAGAGATCCCTGAACTTTGAAGAGCAAAAAGAGCAAACATCGGACGAACGAGTCAGCGACGCGCCATAAGGGAAACCCACCTAACATACCTGCATAGGTACCTAGGACGTATGCGTATGCGTGTGTCAAGCCTTTCGATAATATCTATTACCAACAACTTTCTCATTTTAGCACCGCGAAACTCCCGAGATCATCGGAAAGCTCGCATGCGTGCACCGGTACTACATAGTAGAGCTTGGGACCGAATGTGGTGCATCTTTCACCACCTTCACTCGATGGTCACTCGAAAAGATTCGAAATTTTCATCTGTACTCGAAACAGCTAGTTCCATTAGACGCTAGCTTAATTTTCCTCACAATACATGACAGGATGTCATCATTTTACACCATTAATGCTTGTTTGCTGGTGAGGTTCGGGAAGAGCCAATCTGATCCTGTAAAAGTGCTTTCTCGGTGGTACTTAGCTCCGCTGTATTTAAGATCCTAGCCCAGCTTCTAAGTGGTTATGATTGTCGTCTTTTTGCGGAGAATTACCCCCTGCGGGCATCCATCGTCCACGAATCAGCCATCGATCTATCCATCACCTTCATCTTTTGGTTAGGTTCCTGAGTCGCTGAAACGCTGAAACGATATCGTCGTGCATGGCCATTGTACTACTACATAAAAAGAAGAAAAATGAAAGGAAAATGAAAGAGAGGCCAATAACCAGATGCCAAAATTAGAGATCAGGAAGTATGTATCAGATTCTTTTTCTTTAAGGATTTCTTTGGTCGTCTTCACAAAGGCAGAAAGGGTCCTCTCCCCCCGCCCCTCCCCCCTTAGCCCTTCTCGAAGCCTCAAAGCAAGCGAGGTATTATTAACTACTACTAGGTAACTACTAGTACCTAGAGGTAACTAAAGGGAATGGGGTTCCGTTGTCAAATTAATTGTCAAGCGGAGTGGAGTAGACTTCCATTGCCATTTTGACATAGCAGCATAGGTAATACATACATAGTACCTAGTACCCCAGTTGTCTATAACGTCTCCCTAACCCACAACCTCCACCGCCGATGTGCTTCCCTAAACCCCTCTCACTCTCCCCTGTAGACACAGCCCTGGACCTGGACACCTAGTGGACTAGCTCAGAGTCCCATGGAGATTCCTATTCTGTTTAATTTCCCAACCTGCGAGGATCGTCCCCTTTCGGGAAATCCTTTGTGTTCGTCATCCTATTAATACTCGACCGCCTCTCCATCATGTCCACACTTCTTCTTTTTTCCTTCTCCAGCCAAAAAGCCATCACCGCAATTCCAGTCACTTGACTCAGCTTTGACTTCGGTCGTCCACTCTTTCACAACCCTATAAGCTTGCAGCTTTCATCACGTTCTTTTTCACTTCCAAAAACAAACTACCCTTGTTCGTTTCTACACGTTCAGTATACCAAACAACATATTCAAGATGCGTTTCACCGGAGCTGTTTTCTTCGCCGGCGCCGCCATGGCCGGTAGCACTATTTACTCGACTGACTTCGTGACCATCACCTCGTGTGCCCCCACCGTCACCGATTGCCCGGCCAGGTCCACCGTCACCTCCAGCACCGTCTACCCGGTGTCCAGCGGTGTCGTTTCCAGCGCCGTCACCAGCGCTGTTCCCGCCCCCAGCCACTCTGCTCCTTCCAACGGCACCGTGCCCGGTTACCCTACCGGCCCTGCCGTCTCTCAGAGCGTTCCTGTTGGCACTCCCAGCGCTCCCGCCCCGGCTGCTAGCTCCCCCGCCAGCTCTGCGTCCAAGTCCACCCCTGCCGGTGGTTACCCTACCGGTGGCGTTCCCTCTGCGTCTGCTCCTTACCCTACCACCAAGGTTCCCCAGCAGCCCAGCTACGCCACCTCTGTGATCCCCATCACCTACACCACCTGTGTGCCCACCACCACCGTCAGCTACTCGACCATCACGGTCACCCCCTCTGCCCCCGCCGGCACTGGCGTCCCCTCTGTCCCTGGTGCTCCTCACTCCACCGGCTCTTTCACTGCCTCGTAAGTACATCCCCAAGCCGATCTCTAATTAAATCCGAACAGCTAAGGTGGCTAACTTTGAACCTATCAGCAACCCTCCCTCTTCCTCGTACCCCACTGGCAGCCCCATCCCCACTGCCGGTGCTTCCACCGTCGCCGGCTCTGGCCTCTTCGCGGCCGTTGTCGGTGCCGCCGCCCTCTTCTTCGCTTAGGCGATCACCCTTGGTTTTCTGTGTTAATGATTCAAAGCCGGGATATGGCCGATTTGGCAATCATGAGGCGTGAACGTAACGGTTCGGTTGCATATGTACTTAATTCCTAATTGTATTTATGGCCTCGGATGCCTATGACAAAGCCAGCTTCATTCGAAGTTCATATTTGCAAAAACTCCTTGAAACGCACAACTGTCTTCGGCTTCTTCCAAATCGTGAATGTTGCATTTTCCCTCTCCCCCGCTCCCTTGTAGTCCCGGTGATGTATCTGGTTGGATGTGTCGGTGCGCTTGGTGCATGTGTGGTAGATAGTTAATTTAGCCCCTGATACGTAATTTCCGATCCTTGTTTAGGATCGCCGCGGTTTCTCCAACCTTGGCGAGGCGCGGTTATCTTGCGCGTGGCCGGGAAATTAGCGTTTATGGTAGCTGTTCTGATTGGCCGACAAGTTTTTAAGTCGGTTTTACAGTTATTTTGCCAGTAACGTCACACTTTCCCGACACTCTTTTAGTTGGTGAACACTCGTGGAACTAACGACCGCATGTTCGCATGCTTTTCTCCCCTTAATTCTTGCTAGTGCGCATATTTCACGGTTTAATATCGGGTTATGACAGATGGATGCTCCAGCTTTCATCAATCTCTTCGAGACGATAACCAACAACAAAGGCGACAAAATTAATTCCAAGCCCAGCTGTCTTGAATCGACTTTTTCTCGGGGACCTTTAGATCTTCATAAGATTACGATTTACAACATTGAATTCTTCTCATTATTTCTCATTTGATTATAGCGCAAATCAGTTTGTCATTCTACGGCCACTGCAACTCACCGGCATCGTACGAGATATGTCACGTATGCATATGAACTACAGTGAAGTTGTACTATGCATTTCTGCCTCGTCAAGTACTTACAAATCATATTGTATAGTATATACCCAGCATGTTAAGGGTGACTAACAATGCTGCCTAAAAAAAAATATAGACGCATTATCTCCTGTTAGTTCATTTTCTTATTGGAACGGCTTCATATCTCACCTATGATATTTTCCATGAATATTGACATGTTTGTAAGAATTTCAATTTTCTGCTGACTTTACTAGATCCGGTCCGATGTCTCCTATCACCATGACTTAATAGAAGCCCTGGAGATTTATCAATCCTGTAGCCAAAGACGATTATTACCTAGGTATCTACTATTATAAACCGTACCGCATATGTGAGACCACCCGAGTGCGACAGTTTCAGCCCTACGACCCTAATCGCTGGTGTAAGCTAAGCCTCAAATATAGACCACAATAATAACAAGATCCAGGTATAATTATCTGATATCTCATAAGATATTCTCGCTTTCGCATATATCCCATACTCAACCCCGCGGTCCGCGGGATTCTTGGCACACCATAGATACCTAGACCATCACCACAGACGCAGTCATTATTGTCGTTAAGCGAGTGCGAAGTTTTCTTTTCCGTGATTGGCCAGACCTGCCAGACAAGCGATTCTCGGCCTATATCACACCCAACGCATGCGTATAGGCAGCGACGACGTCTATGATTATTGCCGTTGGTCTGCTACAATCGTTGATCTGAATCCATCAAAATAACATCTCATATCTAAGTGGCTATGCCCTGCTCCTCTTGGAAACCACCCGATGACGAATACCGTACTCATGGCAGCTGTGCCCAAACGCAGTCTTCTGGACGGAAGAACCTCGTAAAGAATTTGTTGAGAATCGGTATGTATTTGGTTACACACCAGGTATTTAGGTATTTAAGTATTAGGTAGTTGGGGAGGGTTTTGAAAACAATATAAAGGGGTTCTGATATTCTAGCATAACCTTGGAAGTGTTTGGATCTATACCTACCTATCAAACTAATAAATCGCCATCATCAATCGTATATCACCCAACTATACCATACATCTGTTTCTACCTACTTATTTCATTCTCGTTTTCACATCCTCTGTCCCCTGGAGAATTACAATCCATAATGAGTGCTATACCCCTTATACCGTTTGGCCCACATGCCACATGTACTCTGGACCTTTGCCCCTTGGAGATGTCCGTTTTGCAATATCGTCCGTCTCTCGGCAGCAGCATCGCTTTCATGTGCATCTTTTCCGCCCTTCTATTAATCCACAGTATACTTGGATTCGTCTGGAAAAGTTGGTGGTTTCTAGGTTGTATGGCGGTAGGGTCCGTGACCGAGGTAATTGGTTATGGTGGACGTGTGATGCTTTTCTACAACCCGTTCAGCTTTTCTGGATTCATGATGCAGATCAGTACGTCCTTCCGTCTATATTATTTCTACTTCACGTGGTCTATTAGCAGCAATTACTTACATTTAACCTTTTGTTCGATATTTTGCATCGGTACCGCCCCCGTCTTCTACTCCGCGGCGATCTACGTGACGATGGCGAAGATCGCGGAAAACCTTGATCCGTCTCTTTCTCGCATTAAGCCAAAGCTCTACTACGTTGTCTTCATTGTATCAGATGTATTCTCCCTTACGTTACAAGGCATTGGCGGGTACGTAGCACATTTCTGTCTTCGGCCCATGCCCCTGATTGGTGTAAAAGTTCATACCAGAACTTCACTGTTGTACTCCAATGACCATTACCACATGTAGAATTAAATTTTCTAACTCGAAGGGGTATTATAGTGGGTTGACGACGTCAAGCTCCGGCCAGAATCGGGCATCAGTCGACCTAAGTCTCGTCGGGCTATGCTTCCAAGTATTCTCCATGGTCGTCTTCTGCGGCCTTCTCGCCGACTACCTGTTCCGGTACTTCAAGAGTACAAGGCGGACGATTAATAGCCCTCGCTTAAAGCCTTTCTTGATCTTTCTCACCGCCGCGGTCCTACTTGTTCTAGCACGATGCGGATACCGAGTTGCTGAACTAAGCGATGGGTATAGAGGAGGCCTGATCAGTAACGAGCCCCTCTTTATTGCGCTTGACAGTGTTCTCATCGCTTTAGCCGTGCTCGCGTTGTGTGTCGGTCATCCTGGGTTTGTGTTCTTGCCGTCTGAGCTAGGATTGAAGATATCTAAGATATCTAGTGAGTATGGGATTATACTACAAAATAAATAATTTTGATGGGTTTGGGTATTATGGGAGTGTTGTATGGTGTTGTATTGGTGCTATGCGGATGGATCGGGGGAAATCCTAGCGCATCTATAGATGAATCGTTCTCGATACATACCTATGCGAAGGTATCTTACTATCCCTCTGATATCTTTACATACTCGACCCTCGAGTGACAGACCTTCATCTATTAGAAAACTACTGATTCCACTTTAGAACTAGAGTCGAAACTAGGTAATCCGTGTCTCCAATCTATCTGTATCTGGTATGATACTTACCTACGTATATACCTGTCCCCTTTACGTACCCTTGCTTTAGCTCTTAGTTTCAAACCATGGACAGCATGCGCTTATATACCTACCTACCTAAGTACCTATCAAGGCTTCAAAGAGCATCGTATATGAGATACTATAGATGCGCCAACATCGTCTTTATATCAAAACATTAGAAAATATGTATTCAAGAGTTGTGTGTCTTGTGGTATCTAGAAGTAACCACCCATTATACCCAAGTGATTACCAAGTTGCCCAGATATTGTGCGGCGGGAAATCAACGACCGCTATGCATTGAAATGCGCCCGAAATTCACCACTTTGTTTTCTATCGAGATCCCATGTTATCCATTATCCAGATTACCCGAGATCGTGACCGTCGTCAGTAAATGAATTGAGTTGTTTTAAATTTTTATTCTTTTTCTTGCTTTTCCTGCCCTTCTTTCGGGCCTCCTCCTGGGGGTTGTCTACCATCGTTAGTCCCTGTCCGCATCCTGACTAGGACCTCAGCAGCCTCGGCGGCAAACTTGCATCTCATTCGGATGGCGCCGCCGTATTTATAGAACAAAAATGGAAAGGGTAGACAGGCTAGGGCGAGAAACGCCGGGACACAGCTGGCCCAGTGTATGCCCAAATTGTTGTACATGGCAGTTGTGAATAAGGGGAATGCGGCGCCGAAGATCGATCGTAGAACGGAATTCGCGGCGAGGGCCGATGCTGCGTAGATGACATCTACTCCCATATTAGATACAACTTCGTTATAGGCTAGGCAGGAGACGTATAAACACTTACATGAATCGATCAGATAGTTCATCAGACTCAAGAAGACCAGGACAAGCCCGGAAGCGAAGAATGCGGAAGCGATGATAGATACGATCCAATGGATATTAGGACCATTCGTCCACGCAAACCAGAATAGGCCTATTGGGAGTAGCACAGAGCCGATCAAGGCAGGTGGCAGCCGTGCTTCGGCCGGAGCGTTGCCGTGGTGCGCTGCAGCAGTCTTGGCGTATCGCTTGTTGTCGTAAACGCTGTAAGCAACCGAAAATAACATCCCGACAGCAATACCTAGGAAAGCAAGACCGCCGACACCTGGAGACCACCCTCGATATTGTTGGTAGACGATAGGAAACGCGGCGAACATCATGTATAAGGTTCCGCTGAAAACGATAGCAGTTAGTATTCTTATTCTTATACACCCCCTTTTAGCGGGCAAGGTATTACGTACTATACGATGGCCATATATAGAGAGGTCAGAAGAACGATAGGTTCACGGAACAATAGGATCCAAGGTCTAGATAAGGCAACCTTGAATTCGCGGCCCATGGTCTTCTTAGGTTTACCGGCATCCATCTTGGATATGTAGGCTTTGCCAGTCATCTTGGACAGCTGCTCAGCCCGTCTTCGGAGGAGGATAGGGGCGTACGTCTCAGGGATGAGGAAAGTGCATAGGATCCAGAGGATTCCGGTAAAGCAAGCCATGAGACCTTCAACCTATTCCAGTAACGGTAAGTTAGTAAATGTTTCTCCTGCAACGACAAATCTGTAAATAAAGTACGCACCCATCGCCAACCTCCTCCAACACCGAGAAAACCACCAACAATCGGGCCAATAGACGGGCCTAGGAATGGGGCCTGGACACGGTCAAAATTAGTACTTGATTTTTATTTTATTGATAAATGATTCGACCTAGATCCTTAGGCGGAGGTATTGGATCAGGTGAAATACGTACGGTAGCAAATAAGGCGGTTGCTAACCCTCGTTTGGTAGCGGGGAACATATCGGCGATGACACCGCCAGAGTTAGTTAAGGGAGAACTTCCAATCGTTCCGGCAAAGAAGCGGAGGATGATAAGCGTCTGGATATTTGGCGATCCCGCCGCACCGGCATTAAATGCCGTTAGGCCCATATACTATAGTAAATAATTATTAGCGACTCTTCTTAGCCGACTACCAAGCAGCATTGGGCGATAAAAGGGGCCGGGATCTCCATTGACATACCGTAAAGAAGAATAGTATCTGTCTGCCATACATTTCCGACAGTGGTGCCCATATCAACGGTCTTTAACGTGAATGTTAGCTGGTGAACAGAACCTAGTTTCGTATGGAGCAGACGATGTCCCACATACCCTATGGCAAAGCCAATGACAAATAGGGAGACACCCAAGATTGCTACTTCTTCGCTGATGTGGAATTCTTTAATAACCTCACTGATACCCCCCGTATAGGCCGTAGAAACGAAGGTGACAGCAAGCACAGCGATGGCCTGCATGGCAGTGATACCCCATTTTTTCGCCTCCGAAAACTTCATCGGGTTCTTAGGATCATCGGGAAGGAAGTCGACTACGAACGGCTCTTCAACGGTTCCTTCGCCCCTATACTTCCACGCCAAGACCGCGGGAGATATGCCGGACAGTTCGAATTGGCGCTGAAAGTAAGACAAGTGACTGCTGGGTTTTTGTGACTCGACGTCACGCTCGTTCTCGGTCATCGTAGCGGACGACTCCGAAGAGGACTCCTCCGGCGACGACATGACGGAGAAGTGTTGACCAGTGCCAAATAGATAAGAGTATGCAACTGAAGTATAAGTAGAGGATGCTCTGGTTCTCCGGGATGGGATAGGATGGGGTGAGATGAAATGATATATGAAAAAAACCGGGACTAGGACATTAGGTACCAGTATGATATAAAGCTGAGATGGGATAGTTACAACGACCCTCGAAATGTAGGTAATATATGGATATGATATTAAATTCCTCGGAGTTTTTACAAACGATGTTACCTACGGACCCAAGCAGGCAATGTGACAATATATAGGTATATATATTTCTTTGTCTTCGGACACGGGTCTTACCTAGTAGCTCTTGTTATTTAAGTATCTGACAGTAAATCGGCACATCGGGGTTCCACGTTTACTAGATTATGTGATGCTATTGTTACGAATCAAACGCCCTTATGTACATACCTTGTAGGGTTCTTATGCAATGTAGTGTGATACAGAAGGAACTTACCGAGTCGCACTCCGTCCCCGTTTAAGTCCGGGTGTGAAATTCGCGCGAGTGATGGGTGGAATATTAGATCTTACGCATGGGATGAGGGAGAGAGACAGAGAGAGAGAGAGAGAGTGTGTGTGTGTGTGTTGAAAGTAGTCTCCAAATTGGTAACATAAGATGTCCATCGTTGAACCAATAACAGCACTGTCACAATCCCGAATAGCGCACTAGTGGGTCGAATAGTCCAACCAAGGAGCGTTAGAAGTAGTTAGGACCGAGAATAGTATAAGCCATAAGCGTCTATGAGTCCATGACCCATTAACAGGTCCTTCAAAAGACCCACTGACTCAACTATGCGGTCGTGCCGTAGAGCTTTGCAGGGAGGAAGCAGGGAAGGTCTACCGGCAGCCGGGCTTTGTACCAGCCCGGGCCGAGTTATCGATGATGCCGTACAGTCTTCTTGACGATATTGAAGAAAATTGATGAATATGTGAACGTATGATTGCGGTTCTTCGTTACACATGGTGCAAGGGGCCCAGATCTGTCGATCTATTGTCGACAGGACTCATGTCTAAGGATATTTCATACATACTAGGTAGGTATGTATAGGTATATATCAATACCTATCTAGGTACGCAGATATGTACCCAGTATCTACTCGAGCAAGCTGCGAAACATCCATAAGTGCCCAGTGCCTAGGTAGGTAGGTACTATTAATGTGGCTTGTAATAGTTAAAACGGTTCGATAGTTGATTCGAAGACGCGACGGAAGACGCAATAGCCATATGTCAGGACTTAACCCTAGTCCGGTCCCGACAGCTCAACTCAAGTCGTTTGATTTAAAAATCCCCATCTGCCTACCCAGGTAGGTCGGGCAAGGTAAGGCTATTTGCTCGCACCTTGTCGGCCCCGAATCTTGTAAATTTCATCCGCATCGTCTATATCGGATGTTGTATTCTTTCAGCTGAGTGATGAAATAGGCAAGCTCAGCGAAAGCGGGCTGGCGGGTTAAGTCGCGTGGGCTAGGCTTATGAAGAATCATGTCGAGTCGGCGTCTACCAACCTCCGACCAACCGATGGACGACTACCTTAACAAAGGAGTCGTTATTAATATAAAAGAAATCTTTCGGGTCTGGATTTGATAGGTACCTCGATACCTAATCAAGTTTCTCAGTGGAGACCCAAGCTGCCAAGTGGACCACAACTTCCAAGTTCAAGGTTGAAATGAATGAGTAGGTACGTACATACTAGGTAGGTAGGTACCTACCTATGTACAAACATGTACTAGTAGCGTGCGGCGCGCCGTCTACATATGATAGAAATGATGTAACTGTATTGGGAGAACTTTGAGAAATGGCTCTAGGCTGCGCAACAACAACAACAACAACAACCGTGCCACGTATTTGACTAATACCTATCCATGGATCTAAGATTCGTTAAGAACGTTGTCCCGAGTGGCGTCATCTAGGATTTAGGACAAGAGCCCTCGTGATGCTTTCGGCGTACACGGCGGTTGACTTAGCCGCTTCTTGAATCATGTCGCTACATTTCTTATTAATCGATTAATCCATCTGCTTCATCGGAAGTGGGGAAATGAACAGTGATTGATATATAGGTAGTCTGTCGGTAGGCATATATTTCAAAGATTGGTGCTATATGTATGTACTATGAATGAATGATTTAACATGTGCTGCATGTGTTGGTAGGATGAAATTCGATCGATTCGATCCCTTAGGTACCTTACAACTGAAATTTCCAGTCATTTATTTGCCGAAGCAATAGTCGACGGATCAATTACCTCGTATGGACCGGGTGAAATGCTTTTGGATGATATGAAGAGCTGCGATCCGAAGCTGAGTGTCTCGAATCTATTTGGTGCTAGAGAAAATATCTCTTGGCATATGTGAAAATCGTTCGAGGGAAGAAAAGAGGTATTGTACAGTGCATATCTAATATCTACCTGTAGTGAATTTATAGTTAAGGTTCACAATTTGCATTGCCCTAGCGTGCTTTCCTAGGTACTTAGCAGCCTGTTAGGTAGCACCTGGATCTACAGCGCCAGGACCGTACCTACTCCAGGGCTAGGTGCAGTCTTGACCTATTAGAATGACAAGTGGAGATTGCGGAGTTAGATTTCCAAGGTTATCGATTAAGATTCTTTTAACTCTGCTAACCAAGATTTTTACTCTTTTGGATTCTTCTAATTCTAACCTCTGCTCATGTACAAGCTGACAACCTGAGCATGTGATTGAAGAATGTCTCTCTATCATGAAACAGCTGATATATTATCGGAAGCGCCAATCAATTCATCTGGAGGCAATTTAAAGACTCGGATATTCGGCAAGAAGGATTTGAAATCCCCCCAACAGCAAGTCTACGCCCTGGCCTTAGAGACATGTAAATGGAGCCCCGTGCTGAAGGAAGTCATCGACAACTCTGAACTTCTACGTCATGAGCGCAAGGTAAGCAAGCAAGAGTGCACATTGATACGTCAATGCATATTTCTTGGTCCGACATCGGCTGATGACTTAGTGATTCATTAGTTAAGTCCATTGTTGGCCCTACTTCTCGCTCATGATTTCTTGCTTTCTAAGAGAGGCATTGTTCTCCCTGCTACTCATGGCCTGAGAATCTCTATTGAGCGGCATAAAGCCCGATTAAATGCTGAGTTTACTAGAGCACGGCTGCGGAGGAAAGCCGGGTCGATCCAATCCTTGAGGGAACAGATAACTACCCAGTTCTTAGGTGAGGCAGCCGGCTATCCCCGATGGGTACGTGTAAATACTCTGAAAACAACCGTCGAGGATCAGTTGGCAACCACATTTACTACCTTTACTAGGGTTCTTAGTATCAATGAAGTGACTTCTACCCCCGGGAAATTCCTGCACGTGGATGACCACATACCAAACCTTCTGGCCATCTCCCCAGGGTTTGAGATAACTAAAACGGAAGCATACACTTCCGGGGCTTTAATATTACAGGACAAGGCCTCATGTTTTCCGGCTTATCTATTAGACCCTCGTTTTGAAGATGGCGATGTTATCGATTCTTGCTCGGCTCCCGGGAATAAGACGACCCATCTTGCTGCCATCGTGTATTCTCGGACCCCAGAGAATGAGCAGTGTTCACAAACGGTATATGCGTTTGAGAAAGACCCAAAGCGCTCACGGACGTTAGAAAAGATGGTGAAGCTTGCCGGAGCTAAGGAAATTACGCGGATGAGCTTTGCTCAGGATTTTCTCAGGGTTGATCCAAATTCCGAGATGTTCGCTAATGTTGGATGTTTGTTGCTTGACCCTAGTTGTTCGGGGAGTGGCATAGTCGGCAGAGATGATATGCCTACAATACACCTCCCTGAAACTCCAGGCACGTCAAAGATGCCGCTAGCCAACTCAGGACGCAAGCGTAAACGAGGTGGCTCTGATACTAAACAAGAAACGACACAGCCGATCCTGGTCGATGATGACGGGAAAGAGACTATAGTCTCTTCTGAAAACGAACTAAAGGCCCGCTTAGAAGCTTTATCATCATTCCAGCTTACTTTGCTACTTCATGCTTTTAAATTTCCTGCTGCTAAGAAAATCACCTACTCAACTTGCTCGATTCATCCTGAGGAGAATGAACAAGTGGTCTTGAAGGCGCTACAAACCGATATTGCTGAGGAAAGAGGTTGGCGCGTGCTACGTAGGAACCAGCAAGTCCGTGGTATGCGGGAATGGCCGGTCCGCGGGTCTATCGACGGGAGCAACGGTGATCCCGATATCGCCGAGGCGTGTATTCGGTCTTACAAGGATGACGGCCGGGGGGTCATGGGCTTCTTCGTCGCTGCTTTCGTTCGCGACGTACCATCGAACTTCGATGGCGACGGACCTTATCTTCGCGATGATGACGGTCGAATCATTAGAGATGTTTCGGGCATGCCAACCCTTAAGCCGGAGTATAAGTCCAGGTCTTCAAGTGACGTTGAACCACCTAGGACAACACAGGACGGTCGCCCCGAGGGTGGAAACGATGGAGACGATGGAGACGAAGACGACGGCGGGAGTGTCTCCGGCGATATAGATGAATCTGGTATTGATAGTATCTCAAGCGATAATGACGATGGCGAATGGAATGGGTTCACGGATTGAATTTTGAACGGCATCGATTAGGTTTATACCCTGGATTTTTCTCATCTAGAATAATGTGGAGTGAATAAAATGGGAGTCTTAACGTTCGGTATATTGCGAGAAGCTATTATAACTACCTACTTCATTATGAAATAGTGAATTGCTATGTTGATATAATACAATATATAGATAGATTAAGATATAAATAACTACGGCGATTGTACGTTAAACCTTAGGTCCCTACAGGTAGGAATAATAACAAGTCTCCTCCGTAGAGTTACCCCTTAAAAAGCCGTATCTATCCGGTATGCCTCTATATCCACCCTAGAAATATCTAGATAAAGGTTTTAAGAATAACTAGATGGTGAAGTAGCAATCCGAGAAAGGGGCTGCTTAAGGATGGATAGTCGAAATCTCATCTACCCTTCAAGAATAATATAGAAACGCGTACAACTTAGTAATGCAAAACTTGGGGGAATTCGAAACATTATGTTCAGGTAATTGTATTCAAATATGCTACATCAAGAAGTGAATTGGGTTCGCTGCGGGTTACTTCGCAAAACTGCGCCAGTAATCACGAGCACCCACAAATTTTGGTATGCCTCATCCCAGTCCAGCGCACGCTAAAAAAAAGAAGTCAATAATCCAGTGAAATGACCAACATCGCTATGCCTCGCAAGCTTTCCCGCCTTGCGTGCTGAAAATAGAATATGAGTTCAAAGCAACTCAAGGCTTTATGCTGCCCGTTGCCAAACCTCTGACGTGCGATCGACTAACCTTTCGCCACGCCGCGCATCTCCTAAAATGATATGTATGTACATACATACATAGTACATACGAAGAATCGAATACACGGCCAGCTATCTGGCTGGCGATTCGTAGAGTCTATCGGCGGCCTGCAAATCCACCCTCGAGGTGACGCTTTATGTGACCATGACTACGGTGGGGAGCGCGACGTCTTCGGAGGGGAGCAGGTGTAGATTGGGGTTCTACGGTGGTTGTAAGTGTGACGGTGACGATGTCCCAAACCGTCGAGACATCGGGATCTCCAGCTTCGGATGATACCGCGACAGATGTCACGGCGGCAGCGGTAACGACAGGTGTTGCGGCCACCACGGTCGAGCTAGAAACTTCAAGGAAGGCAAGGCCAGTAGCGGATGAAGATGACGCAGCTGCCTTAGTCACTTCGCTCTTCAGAGTCGTCTCTACAGAGGATGATTTTTGGGTAGCCGTGCTCGCGGCATACTAGGTATACGGGGTTAGTAACCATTACGTCTAGACCATGTGGCCATTCGGGATAGTGGGTCATGTTCAGGAATAGGAGATCATATGATAAAAGAATAAACTCCAAAAATATGCCAGAAGAGGGAATAGATGAGGCTGAATGCTACTTACGGTCGATGACGCAGGCTTAGACGATGACGACCCGGAGTCCGAACCAGAACCGCTAGAAACACCACCTTTGCCCCAACCTGTGACAGGGCAGTTGAGCGGGAGCGCATTCAGAATTTCCGAGACTGCTACTAGAGCGCCAATAGCCGGCTTGATAGTGCAGTCCTTGTTGTCGTTGACGCCGCCGGGGATATTGGGGCATTTCTCCATGCCACTGTCACCAGCATTGCAAGTATCGATGATAGTCTGAAGGGTGTTTTGGTCCCACCCAGAGATGAAATCACCGTGCGAGCTGTAGCCGGTAGCATCACCGTTAGATAGAACGAAAGGCTGCGTCTTTCCATCGGGCGTCCACCGGTCCTTAAACGAAGGTGTGTCCCAATACACCTCATAAAAGATATGCGGCACGTGAATGTATCCTGCTGGGCAAGTCTGCAGGCCATCTACGGTGGTTGGCCAAACCATGTTGTTTTCGTAATCGTCAAGGCCTGCCTGGGGGTTATAGCACGAAGGGAAGTGGATGTCCTGTCTGAGAGGGGAGTAGGTGCCGTCGCAGTCGTAAAGGGGGAACCCTGCGCCCGCACCCTTATTGTTGGGATCCTGCATGCCTGCCGTAGTTCCATCTGAGTCTGCCGGGTATGAAGCAGGATTGTAATTTTGCCTAGGACAAGTCCACTGGATCGGCTGGATCGGCCCCTTATCAGGATCAAGATTGCTCCCTCCTCCAAACTTAGGAGGGTCTCTAGTCTTGGAATCACCACTCAGCATTTTCAAGCCGACGGGGAAGGGCTCGACAGTGCCGTTGGTGGGCTCGAAACTAAACATACACATTAGTTAAACAAATACGGTCTATTTTTATTATAAAGGGGGGCTTACAAGTAGTAGACGTTCATGTAGTAAAAGGGCACTTTCTCGAAGCTGGATGGGTTCTTGGGATCTTGGAAGAAAAGGCTAGGAACCCAGTAGTTGCTCTTATCATTTTTGATAGTGGTCGTGGTACACTCTGAGCTCAACAAGTCGTCGCCTTTGGTGTTGATGCCGAAGTTACTTCCTCCCATGATGCTGTGGTAGTGGGTTGCCTCTGTTCCGGGGTTGACGACGGGGTCCATAGGACCTTCGGTTAAGAATTGGTTTTTTGTAAAGTGTAAGACGGCGAAGGTCCTCTCTGTCTTGACAGCCACGGCCAAAGGGGCCGCAATGGCCAGGGCACCAACGCTTGCGAACTTCATACCTTCGGCTTCTGAGAGATCTTTATCCGGATGATTCGATGACGTATCCTACACCATATGCAAGCGATTGTACGTTCTAAAGTCCTTGTCTCGGGGAATATAATTCTTCAATATGCTGATACCGGAGCACCGTTTAAAAATAATTGTCAAGTAGGTAGATAGCTTAGCTACCTATGTATAGTGACTCAGAAGTATGACTTTGGGGTTGATACTGCCGATCTGACGTGGAAAGAAGGGACAAACAAATACTTGTTCAGTAAAATGAATGATAAACTCAGCCGGCGGAGCAGGTAAAGAGTGAAACGAGGAAAATGAATGTAATTTTCGGAAACCCAGCACAACAAGAAAAGCCTTGAGGTAAAGAGGTGAAGAGGTAAAGAGAGGGAAATGAAAGAAAATGCATAAGATTCCGTATATTAATTCGGCGGAACCGGTCCTTCAGGCTATGGGGTCCAAGTACGCATAGTATTATGGTGTGGATGGCTGGCCAGCCCACCCTGCCAGGAACAAGGCACAGAATAGAATCATCGATGTCAAGGTGGGGGGATAGGGGCAGGGGGGTTGGCAGGTTGAGCTGGGTGAGATTCGAACGCATGATAGTACGTTGGACGATAACCGTAAGATCCGCCATCCCGCCAAATCATTTTACTTTATACATATAAAAGCAGTATATTATCTTTATATGCATATATATTTATGAATATTTCTCATTAATGAATTAAAAAATTATGTATATTTAAATAAATTTATTTATGTTTATAATATAATTTAATCGAATTTAGTAAACTTATATTTTAAGGTAGTATGGGTTATAAATATATTTAATTTTAATTTTTATAATAAAATAGTTTTTTAATTATTTTTATTACTTAAGTATTATTAATAATAATATTTTATACTTTTTATTCCCGTTTTATTTTGTTGAATATATCGTTTTTTTATTAATAATAATATGTTACGAATAATTTCGAACACTTAACGTATAATAAAGAAACTAATGACCTTTTTTTTTCTTAATAATAATCTCGTAAATAAAATAAAACAAAGCATTTTTACTTATTTATTATTCGAATTATTATAATTAAAACGAAATATTAAAATTTATAATTATTAATCGTGGACGTATTTAATATAATATCGTTTATTATTTTTATTATATTATTAAAATATTAATTATAAGTAAATTATATAACGTATATAACTTATATATAATTTTATTTATAAAACTACGTTTATTTTGTCATATATACACTTTTCGAACGTAAAAATAATAATATTAGTTTTTATTTTCGTTTAATTTAATTACTTTAAAGCGTAATACTATTATTATAACCTGGTTAATTTAATATATATTATAACCGGGAATATTTAACGAAAAAAAAGTATTAATAAAGCTTATATATTTCGAAATAATTTATTAATTAACATCCCGTTAATTAATAACTTATTAATTAAATAACTTTTAAAGGTTATTAACGAATACTTAGGCCTTTACTTAAGTTTAACTTACGATAATAACGTTAAACTTATTTAAATATTAAAAAATAATATTTTAATAAATAAAACGTATTATTTTATCGTGCTAAAATACCGGGATAAAAAAAATATATTCGTTAACATTAAACTCTAATTTTTTTATTTAATAAAATTTAATAATATATATCTTAATAAATCGATATTTTATTTACCCGAATTTTTTCTATTAAAAATTCCTATCGAAACTGCTAAAATTGTAAGAAAATCTTGAAAAGTAGTTTAAACATGGTAACGGTATCGGAAATAATTCATATCGTTATATAAAATCGTATTATTTCGCCGGCTAAAAACGAAGCATGTAATTTCGAGGATTAATAAAAATTAAATAAAACTAAAAAATATAAAAAAGTTTATTATTATAATTAATAACGTTTTTTTTTATAAATTAAATTTTTATAACATTACGTTTATATCGAAATAAACTCGCTACGTATTTAATAAAAGTGTAATAACTTCATTTTTTAAAATAATAAGTTTTCTTAATTACTTTATTATGTTTTAAAATCGAACGGGAAAAACGCTTTAGCGATTATTTAAATAATAGCACGATATTATAATATGTAATATATTTCGATGCATACCGTTTCCCGCGAGTTCATTTTTACTCCTTTCGCTTAATTTTTTTTCCAATTAAATATTTTCCTATTTAAACGCGCTAAATTCCCTTTATCCTTTCGACATCGCGTAAAAATAAATAATAATAATTTATACCGTTTTAACTTTAATAAGTGAAAGGTGAGAAATAAGAAATAAAATATTAAATGCTAAGAATTATTTTTAATTATAAAAAAGCGGTTTTAAAAAAGAAAACATATTTTCGTTTATAAAAAAAAAAAAAAGGAAATTAAAGTTTTTTAAAAACTTCGTATAAATAAGGTCGAGTTAAATATGTTTTAAAATAATAAAAATAATCGTATAATTTTTAGTAATAACTTTTTTAATAATAATATAAATAACCTTAATAAAAAGCTAAACTAAAACACTCTTTTCGAATAAATAAATAATAGTTAAAAATTTTCGGGTAATAACGAAAATATTAATCCTTATAGCTATAATTAATTAAAAAGCTGATAATAACTTAAGCCGTAACCGTTTAACTATAAAATATAAACATAGTTCGACGAGTCGTAATAATAACACCCTAAGTTTCTTTTTACCTTATATTAATTTTAAGCTTTTTTTTAAATAATTTAATTAAAATTATTTAATTAATTATTAAAATAAGTATAATAATAACGAAAGATATTTTTAGTTTAGTTTAAATATGCGAGTAATAATATTTTTTTATATTAAAATATATTTATAAATTAATTAATAAATATAATTAATATATAATTATAAATTTAATTTATTTATTTCGTTATAAAGCTTAGGAATTTTTTTAATAAAATTTACTTTATTTTTCGAATATTATAAAATGCTTTTACCCTTCTTATATATAAACTAATATTATACTTAAGTATATATTCCTTATATATTCCTTATATACTTAATTAACTTTTATACGAACGGTTAGTTTTTTTAGCTTTATTATATTATTATATATAACGAGATAAACGTTTTTTATATTTTTTTTATATAAAACGATAACTATTTTCTAACTTAATTAAATTTAAACTTAAAATAATTATATTATAAATGCCGTAAATAAATACTTAAGTTAAAACGTTATTAAATAATAAACGATAATTACGTTTACATTTATTTTTATTTAATATAATAATATTTAAGGTTTAAATTAATTATATTAACTTAATTAAAAGAATATATTAAGTAAATTTATCCTTATTTATTAAATTTTTTCGTAAAATGGGTTATAATATACACTAAAAGTTTTTAATAAACGTTAATTTATTAATATATACTTAAATATTAAAAAAAATAGGCTTATTTTTAGATATTTTATTTTATAAAATTATTCCTAAATACGTTGTTAAATATTTTAAAATTACGCCTTAATTTAATAAATTACTTCGTGAAAATATTATTACTTATTTTATTTTAAGTATTTCGTCGTTAGCGTCGTTTTAACATCGTATTTTTTTAATAAAAATTTATCCCTTAAAAAAGTAGTTTTTATATATAATTTAATTAAAAATAAAAAATTTCGGGATTATGCTCGATTATAAACTCGATAAGTTTAATATATTTTTATAATAAATAAGTTTAATATTATTTAAATTTCAAGGCTAAATAAAAAAATAAAATTAAAAAAAAAATAAACAATATTATTTAAATAAATATTTAAAATTTAAAATATGTAAATATTATTTTTATTACGTAAATATTTATTTAATAAATATTTTTATAACTTTAGCTTATAAAGTTAATAAAATTAACAAAGTTAAATAAAATAATAAACATAATTTTTTATTATTATAATATAAATATAACGTTTTATATAATATTATATATATTAAAACGATAAGGAAACTTTAAATATTATATTAATATATATAAATTAATTTTAATTATTTAATTAAACGCGTAATTGTAACATTTATTATAAATAATATTACTCGCGTAGTATAAAATTTAGTTTTTCGCGCGTAAAATCACGTAACGCATTTTTAATACTTTTCCCCGCGTATAAATCGCCGTATAATTACATGTATAAACGATAACTTAATAAACATATAACGAAAACTTTATTAAACTTATACGTCTTTAATTTTAACTTGTTTTTTTACGATAAATTAAATTAATAAAAATTTAAACGAAATAATTAATTAAAATATATTTGAAAAGCTTATTAAACGATATAAATTATAATAATCTTAGTCGTAAATTAATCGAGTTATAAAATGTTAAAATTAAAACTATACTTTAAAAATAAAGCTAATTTTTCCTTAAAAATTAAATCTATTATTTAAATATACGTTTTGTATTTAACTTTTTATTATTTAATTAATTTTAGTTAACGAATATTAAAAACCTTAAGGTAATATTTAATAAATTGCGATAGTTTTTTTTTTTTTCTTTTTTTTAATATAAATTTAATAACGATTATTAACATGGTAATAATTATTAACCTAACATTTATTTAATTAATAATCGTTATAATAAAAAGTAAGGTTATTTTTAAAATGGTTATTTTTTTCGATATAACCCTTATATAAAAATTACAATTACCCTTAAGAGTAATACTATTCAATTAATAACCAATTAAAAAAATGGTTATGAATTAATGATTACTAATTAACATTATATCCACCCTTAATAATTATTTCTATAATTATGTTTACTTAAATACCTTTATAATTATATTACCATGTTTTTTTTTTATTTAATAATGAAGTTAAAATACGGTGATTCCTTATATAATTTATTAAAATCGAACGTAATAAGCCGTTTTTTTTAATTAAATTAAAGTTTTAATATTTAAAATTACCGAAAATTTTATATTAATAAAATTAAATATACGTTAAAATAAGTGTTAAAATAAACTTAAGTATTTTTTTAAAGCTTAAAGTTAATATAATATTAAATAACTCGTTAATCGTGTTTAAAAAAGTAACGCGTTAAAATCAACGTTAAACATATTTCCTTATTACTTACATTAATAAGATTTAACGTTAACTTAAATTAAATTAGTTTTAAC